ACATCTCAATAAATTCAGACATTGTGCTCAGACTTGCTATGATGTTCGTGTTTATCTGTAACTAAAAACAAGAACTTAACAATTTCTCATCCAAGACTAAGAGCCCTTTAGTTTTAATGCTGTGAGTAACTAATATAATTTTATCTGGACCAGAAGTAGCTTATGTCACCTTTTTGGCTCATGCTATTTCAAGCAGAAGTAATAAGTTTTCTGAGTCATCAAAGACCAACAACAGCAATAAAACTGAGCAATATGGCAAAAATATAACAATCATGATACTTCAAGATATGTTTTCGATACACGATAAGTATTTGTTAAACTAGAACAGAGAAAAAAGAACCAATAGTGCGAAATTTAAAAACTGCTATCAGGACTATAACTAAAAGGACCAATTACACCATTTTAGTAATAAAACACAAAGTTGGGCAGTTTTCTTTAAGCACTGACAATATCTATGATGTGCTCAGAAGAGCGTTTTCAGATGTAAAGTGACATAATTTATCATGATAACTGTAAGTATCATTTTTGCTCACCCCTAATGGGTAGCAAAGATAACTTCAGAACATACTCCAGCTAATAGCCTTAATTAGAGCACCAGCATGGTCGAGACATAGCGATAGATATAACAACAGATATTAACAATCAATTTACATTGTTGTTTTTATTTAAAGAAGGTCAGTATTGTACAAAGGGGCCCTTAAGGTCCTAGCTGAAGAGAAGACGAAAGACAAATCAAGAGTGGACATGCGTCACACGTCATTCTATCTCCATCTCACTGCCGCTCACATTCATTTCCGGAAGTGAATAATTTCTGTAATCCTAATCTGAGGGTGGAGTTACAGATTATCTGTGAGCGAAACAGCGAGTGTTGAGAGAGGGTGGAAAGGGCGGAAGTGGTGGGCGAGAGAGCTTTAGGCCATATATATCCCTCACTTACACACATAGCAGGAAGGACATAAGCTCTTACTTATAGAATTGATCACTTCAAATACATGAATATCTGCAGTTGAAGATGCAAATCTCTTGTGAACGTGCATACGCACACAGAACTCACAGATATTGGTCTCTCGCGTCACTATATCCCTCCATGATTGTGTGTTGTTTCAGGTTGAAGGGATTACGAGGGGATCGGGAAAGTGAGGTAGAGGGAGAGGGAGAGAGAGAGAGAGATTAATGGATAGATTGTGGTGCAGTATTTGTGAATGTTGTGCAGCTTCAGGGAATCTTTGTATTGTATGTATTGTGTATGTTTTTCATGTAATTTCAGAGGTCACAGTCTTCTATCTAGAGCCATGGAACTTTGCAGGATTGAAGAGCATATACAGAAATCATGCACTTTTTCACCTTAGAGCCCCCTAAGCAATTGGCCAAGCAATACCTTAGCAACTACCTGGGATACCATAAGAAGGGCCTATCCACACCTTAACAACAACTGGGGATACCCAAGCAGTATGCTAGTAAAACCTTTGTAACCACCTGGGACACCATTGCAATGGCCGAGCAATACCTTAGCAATCCCCTGGGATACCATAGTAATAGCCTGGCAACACCTTAGCAGTCACTTAAAATAACAAAACACCAGCCTAGAAACACCTTCGCAACCACCTGGAATAACATAGCAATGGCCTAACAACACCTCAGCAACTACCTGGGATAACATAGCAATGGCCTAACAACACCTCAGCAACTACCTAGGATTGTTGCATGTTTTTATTCCAGTCAAGGAGAAGCACACCTGATTCCACTCATTCAATAACTCTCAGTCCTCAAACAATTAATTAGTTTTGAGATGTGCTCTTGCATTGTTGGAACACACCGGCCCTTTGCGATTAGTGACTCCTGGGGCCAGTCCCACAAAGCACATAAAGGGTTCCTGATAAAGTTTTAGCTTCACAAAAACAAATACTTGACTGACACCACAGATGCGACAAAGGAAAAAGTTTACCTGAAAGGGAGCTAAGGGGTCCCACCTGTGTCAGAAGACTGTCCCATATTGGTCAGAAGCTCAGCCCTGGTTGCTCCAAGAGCTGTTTATGATCTGTAATCTTGCCATGATGCAGGTTAGGCATGCAGCATAAGTTGTCATGGTGATATAGCCTGCTAAAAAAGGTTTCACTGTTGTGAAGCAGAAAACCAGGGTTTGAAAGAAATAGGCTTAAAGTTAGCTGCCTAGAAAGAAATTCCTGGTTTGTGAGGAATGCTCCAGGTGTAGGTGCTCTGATTACTGTCTCACACTGCTTTGTCGTAGGTTTTTATGTGACCTAAAGAAACTGCTTACTCATTTTTCTCTGCTGCCCACAGAGCATCCATAGTGGTTGGATTTTTCCTCTCCATGCATTTCCCAACATAGTCTCTCTTTGACCTAAGCTGGGCAGTCCTAATCTTGGGTCATGCATATGTAAGCAATACCCTCACCAGTCACAAGGTTGATGCATTTTGACATATGCACAAAACTTTAACTCCCCCTACAGTCTCTCTATTCAGTCAAGATCAGAAAGTGCAAATTGTGAGAAAAAAAACCCCGTAGAAAGCTTATCTGAGCTTTGAAGCTAGTTCATCTGTCTGTCCATGCATTCAGCTATCCTTTCATTTCGTCCTCAGTCCATTTTTTCAAATCCAACAGTAATGTAAATAAGAACCTTCTTTAACATGTTTCCACATTAAAGTTGGATAATGTTTTCAGTGAGATCACATAAGAATGTCAATAACACCACCTGAATATGTAGAGTCATTCATTCTTCCCCCATTTCAATTGTGCTGTTGTGTTTAGTTCTGTATGAACAGTGTAATGGGCTGGGAGTGTTGAATGAGAGCTGTCAATCACACATAGTCATCAGACCATGCCCAGACAGGTGTTAGATAGGTCTAGTCTAATATAAACATTTATGCTACACAAGATTAACAGGGACTTTATTGGAACAGAAATTATTCTATTCTGATTTTGAACAGAACAGATTTTGTGGCATGAAGCACAGAAATACTGTGTGGTGTCATTTATCTGATTTACAGTCAGATAAACATTTACACCTGATGTACGATTATTTTGCGTGCCCCATAGTTACCTGCACATTGACTTGTGTGTGTGTGTTTGTGTGTGTGTGTGTGTGTGTGTGAGAGAGAGAGAGAGAGAGAGAGAGAGAAAGAGTGTGTGTGTGTGTGTGTTTGTGTGTGTATGTGTGTGTGTGTGTGTGTGTGTGTGTGTGGTGGGGCAGGTTGCAGTACCCAGATGGTCTCTCTTCAGGTCTCTGCTTAACGCCCATGTTCTGATATCCACTGAGACACCCCCTCACCTTCTTCTCATTCTCTCTCTCTCTCTCTCTCTCTCTCTCTCTCTCTCTCTCTCTCTCTCTCTCTCTTTCTCTCTCTCTCCCTCTCTCTCTCTCTCTCTCTCTCTCTTTCTCTTTCTCTCTCTGTGTTTCTATCTCTCTCTTTCTGTCTGATGTACATCTCACACTCTTCCTTTCTCTCTGTCTATCTCTCTATCTGTCTATTTCTCTCTCTTTCTTTCTTTATCTTTCTCTTATTTTTCTCTCTTTCTATCAATCTCTCACTCTCCCTTTCCCTCTACTGTCTTTCTATCTATCTCTCTCTCTCTCTCTCTCTCTCTCTCTCTCTCTCTCTCTCTGTCTGTCTCTCTCTATCTCTCTCTCTCATGCAGGTGTGCTAGGTGTGTGTGTAATGTAGCTCATGTATGTGTACTTTAAAAGCAGCAGGCAGACTGTTATTAAACAGGAGAAATCCTGTTTAACCTACATGATGTGAAGTGCAAACCTAAAGTTATGTTCTTTTGAAATTTGAACTTTGCTCACTGTTACTTTTGAAGTCAGCAGACGTACAATACTTGCAGAGCTATTGCTAATCTAACACCTTTTTTTGCGAACATTTTTCTCATTTTTTGCAACACTTCATGTTTCATGTTCATCCCAGTGTCCTTGGTGAACGTTCTCGCTATAAAACGCAGGTTTTGCCTAAATAATGATCTGACACTTTTCTTTTCCAAACTATTACACATTGATATTCTTTTTGAATTAAACGGCTAAAAGGAGTGCTGATGAATGCTGACATTACAACAAGGTGGGCAAAATAGGTGGGCTTTGGCATTATTCCCAAAATAGCATTGTCAGGACGACTGTCACAAATGTACATGTGAGGTATTGTTTTCCTCTGGCTAGTCCTTTATATTGTACTCATCATAAATAGACCAAGAAAGAACTCATTTATATTAAAAACAATTTTGAAAATAGTAAGTAAGTAAGTAAATAAATAAAAATCCCTTCCAAAAACATAGAAAGACAAAGTGCTGCACTACTATAGTAAAATTAAATGCTATCATTTTTCTCCATGCTCTATCATTTATCATTTGTTTAGTGTGGGTGTCAGACGTTTGTGTCTCAGTTTCAGTTTGCACTGGAGTTATGAAACTAATGTAACTAATGAACAATGAAAGTCCATTGACCATGAAGTCTATTTGTGTATAAAGTACACATCAAAATCATTACACATGACTCAAACTATGTTGAGTTTTTCAGTAAGCTAAAATAGACTTATGTGGTTTGACACTGTATGGTACACGGTTTTCTAAAGTATGTTGCACAATCTCAACTGTTTTTACCTGAAAAAATGTTTTCTCATGCCTTAACAAGATATCAGTTGATTGGATAAATACTTTAACTTCTTATACCACAAGATTCCATATTTCTCCTAACTTACACATCATCCCTGTTTCTCTACTTTGTTGTTTTTATTTATTTATTTTTGAATGCCAGTTGGCCTTTAAACTGTGTGAGAAATTCATAAGGAACAGGCCGGTAGAAATGCTCCAAAGTTACTTGGAGTAAATCTGACATTAAAAGTTAATAATGTTTTTTTCTCCTGTAAAGTTACTGTGTTGGAGGTACAATGTGTTGTCCTAAGATGCAGTTTTGACATATTCATTTATGAATAATTTAAGGACCTTTCTGTGTTAAGATCATTTGAAAATGCTCTCCTTCTTCCTCCAGAATCCTTGAGAAGCGTCAGGAGAATGGAGAGACCATCGAGCTGTCGGCAGAGGGCAGGCCAGAGTTGGTGGAGGAGAAGGAGCTGCCCATCGTGGACTGCACATGCTTTGGCCTGCCGCGCCGTTACATCATCGCTATGCTCTCCGGCCTGGGCTTCTGCATCTCTTTCGGCATCCGCTGCAACCTGGGTGTGGCCATCGTCAGTATGGTCAATGAGCACACTGTTTTTAAAGGAAAGAAGCCCATCATAGAGGTGAGTGGGGTACGAACAAAGAGCCATGAGAAACAAACTTTAACTGATTTTATAAACATAAGAAAGCCAGAAATGCACACGTTCATTGCTCATTGTGCAGTACAAGTGTAGTAATTTAAGTGCCTAGTTTAACTTACCTGACTTACCTTATGCCTAAGCTGCAGGCTTAAAACAGCCTGTTTTAAATTTCTGTGATGTCACGAAAACCAACACATTTACATATATCCACCTATTCAACCTCCCGCAGTTTGGCTCCACTCATACATGTTGAAGTTATAAGCTATATATCTGTATATATGCCCTTTAAGGAAACCAAAATGATTAAAGAGTCCATATATTTAAAATAACAACCTACAGTTTAATGTAGTCTATACACACTGTTATATAATGTTCACTCCACAGTCCATACAGTCCAGATATGCAAACTAAAGTGCAAAAAATGTCAATAACATGTTTGCAGAGCCGTCAGCAGTTTCAATCCAGCATTTTCACTGCAGCGTTTCAAGCCAGCGGCATTCAGCACATGCGTTTTGCGTTAATCATCATTTCAGACGTTTTATGTGAGTTTTCAGTAAATTTGTGATGAATTTGCATTGGGCTAACATTATAAGCTAAAACAAAATTTGGTTTAAATGCAAATAGAGATTCACAGGCTAAATATTACACAAACTACAGCTTTTGTGGCCTGGGTAAACTAATGGGTTATGTAGGCATATAGATCAATTAACTTACATTAATATGGGAGTTTTATGTGTACACTTACATGTGCAGGAATAAAACTTTACCTTAAGCAGCTTAAACTGAGCATTATATTAATCTTTAGGCTAAAACAAACTTTAGTTTTTAAACATAACCCTGCTGAAAAACCCCATAGAAACCAATAAGTGTTTCTTTTGGTTTCTTATGGTTTTGTAATGTGTTTTGGCTTATGGTTTAAACAGTTACCAGTGGTTGATTCATATACTGGCAACGGTATCCTGAATGGTAATATGCATGGCGACACATATAACCAGCACAAACAGTCTTTGGAAGAGGCACAATACAGGGCACCCGATCAGAACAGAGGTCATATGCAAGTATCAGTCTTAATAAAAAGATACCGGAAAATTGTAATGCAAAAATGAATTAAGAATGAATTTTGCACAAAAACCCAAACAAACTTAGTAAGTGGACCTCAGGGAAAATACAATACAAAAGAAATTGTGGGCTCTTTAAATCTGTGAATATGGTATGAAATATATCTACCAGTTGTATTTGGAGCTGACTACTTGTATATTTGGCTTCATGCCTACACTCTCAAAATGCTAAAACCAAAATCAATTGGTCAGAAGGAACATCCTGCTCTGCCACTGGCTGCAGGTTTTGGCACGTGTCTCGTCCCAGTGTGACCTGTCAAGAGGGATCAGCTTTGGTTAATTCCTGGTACTGTTGCGGCATGCACGGCACCCAGCAAAGCACATATTGTGCCAAAATATTTTGTGGTGATCATGCATCAGCTAAGGAAAAAAGCAAGATGTTTTGATACAAATATTTTCAGGCTACTTTGGTCTCCTGTGGCACTTTACTGTATATTCACACTTCACCACATGTACTAGTTCACTGCCCTGAGTTCCAGGACAATGAACTGTAGGGTTTTGATCTCTGGCAAAGACAGATTTTATATTCTGCTATTAGTAGGTATGAGTGAGATGGCTATTATAACGGTTTTGTAGTTTCGCCTAGTTCATTGTTGTAACTTGTAGAGTTACCTTGTTGTTTAGGTTCACAAGTTAGTTGGTAGCTTGATTTGGTTAATTCAGTAGAAAATCTGATTTCCAGTAAACCAGTTTACAGTTTGTATAGTGCTACCAATTTACACATTCATGGCTTTGTTCTTGTAGCCTAAGTCTTTACATTCTCTCCAGGGGTTTGGAGGATTGACTTTTTTTCTCCTATTTACAGGCTTCAGCCTGACAGTGACCACCAACTCACACTAACTAAATTCACTCCCTGACACAGAGCAACACATTAAAAAACACATATTACATACTGATGAACAACAACACAAACAATATACCACATACTGACGAAGCCAATAGTGAGTGGCTACAGTATATTTTTGTTCATTGTACACCTGGAAGATCCAATAACATCCCAGTTTTGGCTTTTTGGCAAAGGCAATCAGATTTTCATTTTAAATTCTCCTGGTACTATATGGAGTCCAAGATAACATGGTTCCCAAGGCCTTTAAAGGAAAAACAGCACCAAACCATCAAAGATCCTCCACTGTACCTAACCCCTAAAAATCCCGGGCTTATTACATACTAAGGCTTATTATTCAGTAACTACAGGGACTTAAATCTAAACTGGCCAAGCTGTTCTTAGCTTATGTGTGTGATAAAATGTTGGGCTTGCTGGTTGGCCATTTAAGGGGTTAACAGTGGGGATTAGGTTTTTTTTCTCTAGAACTATCCTTCTTTTTATGCCCAACCCACACTGAATGTTGCCAAAAACCCTACTTTTGTCTCATCTGGCCACGGATTAAACTTTCAGCCATGGTGTTGCCCTAACAGTTGATGTGGAATTTTTCAGGCTAGGTAATTTTTTAGCCATTGTGATTTTGATTCTCATTTTGAGTGTATATTCTCTAGACTTCTACATGTTGATGAATACTAACAGGATTTGGCCCCTGTGTCACTTTGTATTTATACCCCAGTCAAACGGCCAGTCTTGGCTGACTGCCTAAGCATTCGTGGACTCTCAGGTGGTGTTTTAAAAAGTATTATATAAATAGAAACATGCTTCAGTTACAATTTTGTTAGAATTTCTGTAGGTATCAATAACTGTTACGCATATGTTTTGTTAAGAAATATATTTTTGACAAGGATTTTAGTTTTCTGAGACTAAACATACATCAAGTAAAGTTTCTTTCTCTGTTATTTTCAGTGTAAGATTTTTTCATTGCTGTTTTTTACCCTTCTCTACCAAGGATGGCAATAATTATGGAGCCAGCTGTATGTTCTGTTTGTTTATTTTTCTGCCTGGCCTTTCATGTCCACTGCCATCAAATTTTTGGTGTGATCTCATGCAACTGCTTAAATGTATGAGACGAGCTCTCTGATTGGCTGAGAAGATTCTAATTGATCACCATGCTCTCCTATGTCTTTTCCACATCACCCAAGCACCTTATGCTTTATGCACTGCTGCACCAGCAGCTCTGTGAGCTTTGAGTAAAAGTGGTAAATAACATGTTTTATAACCTTTTTTTTTGTTTTTTTAATTGAGTCAGTCTTTTGCAGCGTTTAACGTAGTCCGTCAAAAGCAATGTTCTATGAGTAAATGAAAAAAGAATAACATTCTTCAAAGTCAAAAGGAAGTAGCATTTTTAGTATTTCAAAATAGAACTACTTACTTTTACTTTAGTAGGTTCCTAGATGAATATCTGTGCACTGCTCTCTCTGGATTAGCCTCAGTCATGATTTTGATATTGGCATGAAGCCTAAACCAGTTTGTATTACATTGTATTGTAAAACTGCTCACAGTGCAGGAACAGTTACTGTATGGTTGGATTTCAAAAGAATATTCCACCACTGACAGTTAAGTGTCATTAAAAATTTAAAATATTTTTCTCTCTCTTACACTCTTCACTCTGTCTCTCTCTCTCTCTCTTTCTCTTTCTTTCTGTTTTCTCATTCCTTTTCTCTCTTTCTTGACTTTTTCTTCATCCCTCTCTTTCTCTCTCTCTGTCTGTCTCCTTTTTTTCTTTATCTCTTTGACTATCTCCCCTCTCTCTCTCTCTCTCTCTCTCTCTCTCTCTCTCTCTCTCTCTTTTTCTGTCTTTGACTCTCTCTCTCTCTCTCTCTCTCTCTCTCTCTTTCTCTCTTTTTGTTTTTGTCACTCTCTTTCCTTTTGACTCTCTCTTTTTCTCTTTGACTCTCTCTCTCTCTCTCTCCCTCCCTCTCTCTCTCTCTCTCTCTCTCTAGGCTGCTCAATTCACGTGGGATCCAGAGACAGTGGGGATGATCCATGGCTCGTTTTTTTGGGGTTACATTGTCACGCAGATCCCCGGAGGATTCATCTGTCAGAAATTTGCTGCCAACAGGTTCTTAGTTTCTCCTCATATTGTTTTTTTGTTTATTGATTGGGAAGATCTGATGTGTATCACTGTTTTCTTGTGTATACTGTTGTAAATGTGTGTTCTGAAACAGTTTGTGTTCCTTTTTGTCTCAGAGTGTTTGGCTTTGCGATTGTGGCCACGTCCGTCCTGAACATGCTGATACCGGCCGCGGCACGAGTCCACTATGGATGTGTCATTATGATCAGGATATGCCAGGGTCTTGTGGAGGTACGCCATCTGTGCTTTGTGTGTGTGTTTGTGTGTGTAAATGTGTTCACTTCACTGCATTTGTAAAGTTTCATTAGGCGCTAAAATGATTTGCACAAATTGCCATTTTTCCTTTTTTGAGCTTTGTTGGTGTTTATCTGTTTGTACATTATTATCAAGCAGTACAGCAGAAATCTTTTTTTTTCCAATCGCTGTTAAGCTGCTTTGTAGTGATCTTCACTGTAAAAAATCCTGCACAAATTTCATTGAATTAAATGCCCATAATTCTAGAATTTAGCACCATCCCATAAAAATACTGTACAAAAGTCAGAGACCACCCTGCAGTTATTTAATTGCCAGCCAAAGCATTAGGTACCATTAACTAATTCATTTTCCAAGAGACATTTCTAAAGAAAGTGGATATAGAAGGGGGTAAATGAAAAATAAGAATTTTGCAAATCTGAAATAAAAAAAAATGAATAGAGGTTATAGATAAAATTTGACTCCTAACAACTGTGCTAGACCTGATAGACCATCAATACTGTCACCATCAGATAAACAGTACTTGAAGCTTTCATCTTTGAGAGAGAGGAGAACATCAAGAAAAAATCCACAGGTGTTTCTGTATCCTTCCACTGTGAGAAGACAACTCAACACTATGAGTCTGAAAGGATGTGCAGCTATAAAGAAGCTGTTACTGCGAAAAGGAACAGAGAAAAAAAGAAAAAAAAAATTCAGATCAAACAAAGAAGCTGCTGGTGTTCCCCCAGAGTCCAGACAGACAGATAGATAGACAGACAGACAGACAGACAGACAGACAGACAGACAGATAGATAGATAGATAGATAGATAGATAGATAGATAGATAGAATTTTATTGATCCTGGAGGAAAATTGCAGTATTACAGTAGCAAGACATATAGTTGCACATAAACTTATAAACAGACATAAATTAGGCAGAAATAAAAAAGACATAAGTCAAAGTATGAGAGAGTAGGAATAGAAGTATATCTATTTGCATATTTACTTAGCATAAGGACAGATTTGTTGTATTTACATGAGACCAGATATTGCACCAAGTGGTATTAAGTAGTTACAACACAATGAGTATAAACATGACTAGGAATAGCAACAGTACGTACAGTCTAAATGTGCAGTAAGAGTGACATTACAGTCGTGTCATCGCATCATCATTGAATTTGTTGAATTTGACTACTTGGATCATGAGAAGCAGAAAATGCAACCAACTTCTAACACTGAAAGCAAGTCTCCTGAAAATAATGGAAGCTGTAATAAAGGCAAAAATTGGACACACAACCCTGAGACGCTGCATCAGTTTGGGCCATAATGTTTCATTCTCTTTGTTTATCATTTGCCTTATATTTGAGATGCTTATGGTCATAATGCATTTCCTCCTCTTATTGCCACACCCACAGGGCGTGTCATATCCTGCATGCCATGGTATCTGGGCCAAATGGGCTCCGCCTCTCGAGAGAAGCCGATTGGCCACGACAGCTTTCTGTGGTGAGACACCAACCAATGACAATACACTTTTTACAAAGATGATATTTCAAGGGTTCTAGTAAAGACAATGGTTGTTTGTAGAACCATGATTACTCAAATAATCATTTGCATGCTTAAAGGGTTCTTTGCATGGTATAAATGGTTCTTCAGACTGATGGAGAATGTGCTGTATGTGGGTCTATATAGAGCTTTTTTGAAAAGGGTTCTATGCAGCACCAAAAAGGGTTTTTCTGTTGTTATAATGAAAAGCATGTCACAATAGAAGAACCCTTTTTGGTGCTCTATAGTGTCAGCATGCAAATAGTTCTTTGAGTATTCATGGTTCTATATAGAACTATTGTCTTTACTAAGGAACCCCTGGGGAACCATCTTTTTTAAGAGTGTAAATCATGTCATATCATATGTGATTATTATACTTTACTTATGTTCTAAACTTAACAAAGTGCATGTAAGTTTAGAGGCTGTAGGCTGTGCAGTGGGCCATGATGTTGACTGTGTGAAAAGTTCCACAGTCGCAGAGTAAGCAAGAGATTTTGGATACAATAAATGACTTTCAGACAAGTCATGAGTGGACACTGCTTAGGCTACTTTACTGCCTTATTTAGTTTCCCTGTTTGGAAGGACACAAAATGAAGGAGCTATTAAAATTATGGCAACACTTATTTCTAATGCAAATTGGGTCTTTATATTAAAGTATACATGAGCTTTGCTGGATCTGGTTGGTCACATTACTGGATCATTATACCATTTTTACATTGCCAGTCTTTCTTTTTTTTACATTCTAATAAAAAGTCATTTAAAAAGACTTTAACATTGATTTTATGTGTCAAGTGATTTATTTCCAAAGTGGGCTTCATTAAAGTGTTAATGATGCTGCGTGTGTTTTGTGGATCTTTGTCTGATTTAGGGTCGTATGCTGGAGCTGTGGTGGCCATGCCTTTAGCTGGAGTGTTAGTGCAGTATACTGGATGGTATTCTGTGTTTTATGTATACGGTAAGTGACAAATACATGCAGACACAACAAACATTTATTTATCTTATAGCCAACTCTGTTCTGCACCGATAGGACATTTAAAGGGATTTTTGTAAATGACTTTAATAAAGCAAAACAGCCATTATTATAATAAGTCTCTTTACCCTTCAATGTAAAGGAATGGTTTGGCACAGATCAGATTTACGTAATGTTTTCTGTTAATACATGTTCAAACCTTCTCTCGACCTGCTAAAACCCAAGTCTGACTCCACTGCAGAATCTGACATTCCTTCGTGTGCAAGGAGACACATAGACTCATATATACTCTTTCCTGATTTCTGTTGTTTTTACTTATAAACATTTCTCCAGTTTAAAAAATTCAGCAATGATTCATAAACATAAATCACTAATGTAATCTATAGCACTGTTATGCCTCTGTGGCGTGTGTGCACAAGAAGGAAGTCAAATTCGGTGCAACATCTAAAGTAGCTGACTGCAGCGTTCAGCTATACATGTAAAGTTTTGTTTACTTTTATAGTTCACAGTTCATGTATTGTGCTCTGATTGAGTCTGCACAGCCTTAATGAAGACCTAGATGTGGTTTGAGCAGGTTGAGAGAAGTTTTGTGGATGTATTTATGGAAAAAATTTGGGTGACTATTGACTTGTAGTGTTTGTTAGCAACCTTAGCCTTAGAGCTCCAGTATTAAACTGAAGAAGCTAAATTTGGACATCAAACGTGTCTTGGCTAATTCATTATATTTGAAGTAAGTGAAAACTTGTGTCAATTTGATTTCTATTTTTTTTATTTTTTATTTTTTTTGCTGAACTACTATATATTACCATGCCTTTAGAATTTAAATATGTAAATGACCTCTTTCTGATGGACTGCCTTGCATTGTGAAGAATTCAAAAAACTGCCTGGGCTAAAATGTACAGAACAAATTGTTAACCTTGGACTCAAATCATCTGGGACATTGGAAAAAATAACACTCCTTTTGGATATCTGGGTCCTTCGGAAGGCTGCAATAATATATTTGCTTCCTGACACTCAGGAATAGCACAACATTCAATCATTTTCCTTATATATTCTATTCCAACACCTCAGCAGCCTGTCTGCAGTAACAACACTACACATCACTTCAACGTGAATGGATAAGGCATTTAATTCTGTTATTCACAAAATGCAAGAATCTTTTAAGATTCCTTTACATGGGCGCTTTAAATTGAATTTTGAGAAACTGATGCACATTTAATACACAAGCCAGTGATCGCAAACATTAGATGAGGTAGAATTTGCTGCCTTTGAATGTGGGGTGCACAGCCAATCAGACTGACCCCACCAGGTAAGGCTGTGCTGTGGAACGTATGACACCTGTGCTCCCTCTTTTTTATCATCTGTCTCCTCTTCTGCTGTCTCTCTCTCAGGTAGTTTTGGGATATTATGGTACCTCTTCTGGATCTTGGTGTCCTACGAGAGTCCAGCTGTCCATCCTACCATCACCCCAGAGGAAAGAAAATACATTGAGGATGCAATCGGTGAAACAGCAGGACTGGTCAATCCTCTTCAGGTGTACATTTGAGTTCTTTATTTAGGTCCATGATTTAGAATCACTGGGCCTCAAGAAAACAATATCTACTTAAGTTATTTCTTAAATTTGTATTTGAGAAAGTCCTAAGAAAAAGTCTACATCAGATTCAGAATGGTTTGCACCTTTGTGCTCTTTAATGGGGGTGGATTTTGTTCTTACCTAAAAACAAATCCCAAATAAGAAAACACTGGGGAATGTCAGAATCGTTGTGAAAACTGCATAAGTGGGTGGAATGGAATTAAAAAAAAATCTTTTTTCTAAATGTGGCAACTTGCACCTTCACACACTCAGACACAAATACTGCCCATGCTGCCACTCAATGATATACTGATTGTGATAATTAGAGCTAGGCCTTCAGTTCAAGCCATAAACGACAAAATAAAAAAAATAATAAAAACAGAAAAAAAATCTCTATGGTAAAGCTCATTTCTGCTTGCACCCCTGTGGGGTTTTCTGTAGTATGTTAGTGCCAAGCTAACACAGATACACATTAACATTTTTTTGACCATTCTTGATTAAACACAAACTTTTAAAGCTTACAGAAAACATTCCACATGTTTTATTTTAAGCTTGTAACATACAATAATATATTTTACCTTGTATGTGACAGTTTTACAGTGAAACATTTGGTAAAGAACACTGGCATTAAGCTGTTGCTGTTTTCCATTTCTACTTTCTACATTCAACTGACTGAAACTTGCACCACATATTTACTGTCAGTGACTTTTAGGAGGCCTAGATTGATAGTTTTCTCATGAAATTGATTCCTCTCACAAAGTTGATTCCACTATCATGTCCTAATTATGTTAGTGGTTAATCTGATGCATTAAGACTTAAGTACAGCTCCTGAAGTCCATTACATTTCTTGACAAATGGATCATTAGAAATGGTCTAAACTTACTTTTGAGCATTTTTAAGTGAAATTAAGAGGTTTTTTTTTGGTCTCACTTTTTTGGATAGCACTCAGCTGATTATCTGCAGATGTTCAAATTATTTTGAATAACCTCTCTAGTGTAAGTCAGTTGATTCTCAACAGTGTTAAGGTTAAAGTCAAGATTAACACCAGAGTTAGGCTTAGGAGAGGGTGATGATTAAGTTTAGGTTTTGGGTTGAGTTTAAAGTTAAGGTTAGGGTTAGACTGAAGTTTTGGGTTAGGGAAAATTATGGTAGATAAATTAGTTAAATGCCAGAAAAGCATCCATGAAGCATCTACAGTGGGCTATTCAAGTAAAGTGATACCTTTATTTCTGCCGCCATAAAGTTACTGCTTTGTATAAATGAGGTTTTTATATGACAGCACTGGTATATTTATACAGAGAAATTTTCATTCTCCTTCCATCACACCCTGGCACACATTCAGGGTGTACGTTTGCATTCTCTCTCCTCATTTCTCCTCTCTCGTTTTGCTGCTGCTGTAATATGCTGTGCTGTGTGTGTGAAAGGGAGACCGAGACCTCTGTGTTTTCCATTCTCTGCAGAAATTTAAGACACCCTGGCGTCATTTCTTCACTTCAATGCCGGTGTATGCCATCATCGTGGCTAACTTCTGCAGGAGCTGGACCTTCTACCTGCTCCTCATCAGCCAGCCTGCGTACTTCGAGGAGGTGTTTGGCTTCGAAATCAGCAAGGTGAAACTCATACCTGCTCACACACACATAGAGCACAGTTTTAACTTGTATGGCACATGCAGATATGCAAGGACAGAGACATACGCAGTTGCAATCAAAAGTAGTGGCTTGTTCACTCAGTCTTAAGCCCTGTTTGGATTGGATTAGTTTTTTTTGGGAGTATATAGTGTCAAATTTGTGTGTTGTGTTTTATATTATCAGAATTTAACATTAGATCTTTAAGGAACTGACAATAACATAAAATCATCAAGGAGCACATGTAGAAGAGGAAATTTCCCCTGAACTCATGTACAATAAATCCGAATCTGAATGGGGTTTAATTCAACCAAAAGGTCTGATTTTCAAATTACAGTCAAATAACTACCTCCTCCCCTGTAAAGGCTAATATATAAATAACATAGCTTTCATTTTGCTATATAGGATATATATATTGATATTGACAGTGTTTTTTAAACAGTGCATGGCATAAGCATGTTCAAATGGCCAGTAGATCATAGTGTGCATCAAGCAGTGTGCAAAAGTCTTAGGCAGCCAAGATCTCTTTATCAGTAAGTGTGTTTTGCCAGTTAAACACTATAAAAATAAGAAAGAATGCAATTGAACATAAATACACTAAAACATAATTCATTTTTTAGTTTTCAAAAAAGTGATAAATGTCTCAAAGGATAATGCAGTTAGAAGAAATAGGTTTGGTTTCTGACTTTTCAGTGCACTACAGCCATTGCATGGATTTGTTAAACATGAATTTCCATCAGCAGCAGCCCTGATTTAAATTAATGAGGGACTAATTAGATAAACTAGGTAAGCTGGATGGTAACTGTAAATACTGAGCATTCTTAAGAAGAGCACTGGAAATTGGACTTGATTAATGATTTGTTTATATGTATTTATTCTCTCTCTCTCTCTCTTTCTCTCTCTCAGGTGGGGTTGGTGTCTGCACTTCCTCACCTAGTGATGACCATCATAGTGCCAGTGGGGGGGCAGCTGGCTGACTACCTGAGGTCACACAACCTAATGAGCACTACAAACGTCCGCAAACTCATGAACTGTGGAGGTGAGAAAGAGAGAGAGAGAGTAACAGAGAGAGAGAAAGAAGATACAGAGGATGTGTGTGTGTGTGTGTGTGTGTGTGTGTGTGTGTGTGTGTGTGTGTGTGTGTGTGTGTGTGTGTGTGTGTGTGTGTAGTGTCTGGTTTAGGTTTAGCAGCTGGGGCAATAATCACTGATGCATAATACAGTCATACGCGCACACTCGAACAGTAAATTGACACAGATGCATGTATGATTCAATAATATTTCACAGAGCAGCGAACAGGTACACACTGAACGTAAACTACAGAAATACAATACGCTCCAGTTTTGATGCTCAGGAGCGTGTCACCTGGACCCCCTGCACCATCCATCCAACTAATTTTAGGGATAGTTCAGTACCTCTTTAACTACAGCTTACATATTTCATGAAAAATGTTCATGTTTCATCATAGTTACAGAATCATTCATAGTACCTACTTAATAGTAACTTATAAGATGTATAACTAAATAATAAACCAATACAGCCATGAAGACCATAAACAGAGTTACAGTTAAAAGTAACACATGCAGACTTACAACTGCCACCAGTTTCATCTGAAAGCCTTGTGCTTCCAAATATGTTTATTACTCAAAATTAAGTGTACTGTGGTTGATGCATGTGTATTTTGCAGGATTCGGAATGGAGGCCACTCTGCTGCTGGTGGTGGGCTTCTCTCACACTAAAGGAGTGGCGATATCCTTCCTCGTATTAGCTGTTGGATTCAGTGGTTTCGCTATCTCAGGTTAGAACACACAACACAGGATACATACTACTCATAACATTAATCATACAACCCAGTTCAGCACATACACTGCCTGTCAGTGGTTAAGGGACACCGGGCTTTTAATTTTAGTTTAGTTTAGTTTTAATTTTAAGTTTTTAATAATTGGGCATGTTTGTTGGTTTGCAATATTTTATTTGATGTAATTCAGCAAATCACATTATTTAACCCTTTAAAATCCCAGGCTTATTACATACTAAGGCTTACTGTTTAGTAACTACAGGGACTTCCGTGCAAACTGGCTGAGATATTAAGTTATAAAAGTGTGTGATAAAACTTTAAGGGGTTAAAAGACATAATTCTTGTTTTCTCATGGTCTTTGATTGAATTGTAGTGACTTTTGCCTGCCTATGTGATTGTGCACCCACAGGGGAAGAGAAATAATATTCCGCAATAATTTTATGTTGCAATTCCCCCTCCCACAACACCCTCCTATCATTGAGCAAAGCACAAAGCTAACTCAGGGACCCTCCGTGATACCACTGTTCACTCAAAAATATGTCACAGAACTAAAGGAAAATGCAATATCATTTCCAGATTCCCTATGACATATTTTGCCATTTTCTTAGTAAAAACTGCAAAACTGAAGGGAAAACTGACAAAAATTCTACCTTGTGAATAATGCTAAACCCACACATTTTAACCCCTTTGTTGTGATGGTATTTAAACCACTTTTGGACCATAAGAGTGGCCCAATATCACACTAAATAGTGTGCCTTTAACAATAATCTGAAAAAGTAAAATCATTATTTAGGCAAAACCTGCACATCCGTGAAAGAAACTTGAAGTCTGAGTGTTACGAAAAATACCCAAAATATGACCAAATAGCTGTTTTAAGCTAACAACACCTTTGCATATGTATGTATGGCCTCAAACTTTTGATGGACAGAGCATAAGAGCACATGATGTACAGTATGTATATCACTGACATCATAGGACATACTGTAATGAAACCGTTACAGTCCTGGTTCAATTATTACTATTAAGTGCCAAGTTAATTCCGACTCCTATTGAACATATGGACAGTGCTCCCTAGAATATCCTGTCTTCTGTTTGGGTCTTTAGGCTTCTGAATAGTTTGTTTGTTATTCCTCTTATTGTATTTATGCATCTTGTAGTTGGTCATCCTCTTTCTCTTTATCTTCAAGTGTTCTAAGCATAGTGGTTTTTCCAATAAATGTCCAAAATAAGCTTCAGGTTGGTTTAGCTGGGCTTTGAATGCGAAGTGATGCTTGAGTTGGTCAAGGATCCATTTGTTTTTCATTACAACAATTTTTCCAAGAATGTCTCTCTCTTTCTGTTTGTGACAGGCTTTAATGTGAATCATCTGGACATAGCTCCACGTTATGCCAGCATCCTGATGGGCATTTCTAATGGAGTGGGCACTTTATCTGGCATGGTGTGCCCCTTAATAGTGGGAGCCATGACTAAACATAAGGTAAATGCTAATAATAACAGGCCCCCAACATGCTGACATGCTTGCGCTCATTCGTGCATCACTGCGTTTTGCTTCTGAAGAATTAGTCAACGCCACAAAGTTTTTCATATTATAGCTTGGATACGGCTATAACTTTATTTCTTTTTACCATCCTAAAAAAGGCAGCTGCCTTTTACATTGCGTGAAAATTGTTTGATAAGCGGACCAATAGAAACGACCCAAAATTACTTGGAAATCTTGTTACATTATTAAACATTATAGTTAATTTTTTTTTTTCCTTCTGCTATAAATTTACCATTTTGAAGATATGAGGTTTTGTTACAACAGTACTGATATACAGTGAAATGAAATAAATGAAGGGTGAACTTTACTGCACATTACTGCAGTTTACAGCTCTACAGCTGTATATATGTGGCATCAGTCCAGAATCCACATAATCACAGCATCAGTTGACCTGAAACTCCGCACCATCATCATACATTAGCGACTGTCCTGCACAGAGACCATTACTGTCACTTCTGTGACATCAGTCTGTACATTTGTGCAAGTACCATTACTGCTGCCGTAATTTCTATAATGTATGTTCTTTTTGTTTACAGACACGTGAAGAGTGGCAGTATGTCTTCCTCATTGCATCATTGGTGCACTATGGGGGTGTGGTCTTCTATGGTATGCCTCATAAACCTCAGTTACATGGGTTAACACACATTCACTGATGCAAAGTAAACAGCTTGCATGTTCTTTACCATATATGAGCAATGTTTTCCCAGATAAATTAAGAATACATATGTATATACATATATGTAGTTAGCACAATGCTAATCTGGTGGCTAAAAGCTTCCATTACTTGTTAGCTGTCCGGTAGCTAATAATTAATGGAAGCTTTTAGCCACCAGGTTAGCATTATGCTAACTGCACTAATATATATACATATTGCTTTTTTTTGGTGTATGGAAAGATATATTGAACCGAGACACCACTGTACTGTGTCAAACTGAATTCTGAATTCTGAATTCTGAATTTGTGTATCGTTACACCCCCTCTACAGTAGCCTAATTGCCTCAAAGGCTGATCATTCGGTGTAACATGAGAAAAACATGAGAAAAGTACTTTAGCATCTCCTTTTCACTCCTCTTTCTCAGGTATATTTGCGTCAGGAGAGAAACAGCCTTGGGCAGATGCTGAGGACACCAGCGAGGAGAAGTGTGGCATCCTGGGAGAAGACGAGCTCGCCAATGAGACAGAAGAGCTTTACAGGACGGGTGGGCAGTATGGCGCAATAAACCAACCCAATCCTGCAGGGCCTAACGGGGGCGAGGCTGGGGGTGGAGGGGGATGGGTCTCAGACTGGGACAAAACAGAAGAATATGTACAACCAGCGGGCAGAAATAGTTATCTTTATGGAGGAGAGGCAGACAGAGAGCTTACATAGTGGCAGAAATATATACTTAAAAGCAAGAGAGCATTAGTGTAGAAGTGAAAAGTATAATGTCATGCTGTCCGCAGTAAAATCTCCAGTGTAAAATGAACTTAAATTTAACATGATAGATTTTACTGTGAATAGACAATGAGGCTGTACTACTGCGATGAGTGAGTGAGTATGACTGTGTGTTTGTGAATGAGAATTGTTGAAAAGTTGTGTCAAACTGAGAAATGCTGTGCAGATACGTGAATGACTTACAGTGCTTGTGTGTGAGTTTGTCAGTGTGGACAATGACGGTGCTGTGTTTTAACTTCAGTGTTTTAGGCTTCCTGCCAAAATCGCTGTAATGCACTTAATATGAAGATGAATATCGGTTACTGAATGCATACATGTATGTGTATAGTACTGTGCAACAATCAAAGACCACGCTGCATTTATTTAGTTCTCTGTCAAAACAGAGTACAAGTTAACCATTTCCTATGTGATATTTCTGAGGAGATTAGATATAAGAACATAAGCAAGAGGAAAGTCAAAGGAAAAAGAACCAGATTTTCCAAAAATGGAGTTCAAAAAATTATTAAAAGATACAGAGAAAATCTGACTCCTAGACTTGGTAGACCACCAAAACTATCCCCATCAGATAAACAGCACTTAAAGCTTTCATCTTTGAGAGAGAGGAGAAAATCCACAGTTTCTGTCCATCCTTCCACTGTGAGAAGACAACTCAGTGTTATAAGTGTGAAAGGATGTGTGGCTTTAAAGAAACCCCTACTGAGAAAAGGAAATGGACAAAAATGAAGAAAATTTACAAAACAAACAAAGAAGCTGCTGGTGTTCTCAGAAGTGGACTGGCCACCCCAGAGTCCAGACCTCAACATCACTGAATGTGCTTGGGATTACTTGTAATGTTAGAAGCAGAAAATGTAACAAACTTCTAAGACTGAACTTTTGAGGTGTGGAAAAATATAAATGTCAATTCAGATTTCTTTGAAAAACTGAAAGCAAGTCTCCCAAAAACAATGGACGCTGAAAAAAGTATACGCAAATGTTGAGGCATCTGTTAAATTTTCTCTTAAATATATGTTAGAAAAAATTAAATAAACGAAAGGTGGTCTTTGACATTTGCACAGTACTGCATGTGTGTGTGTGTGTGTGTGTGTGTGTGTGTGTTTTCTTTGCTGTGCACAGTTCCTTGTGTTTCCATGCTTTATATGGTAAATGAGTGTTCATGTTATCAGATGGGTGAATGTGTAGCCTACATGATCAAAATTGGATGTGCTAATATTGTGTGTGTGTGTGTGTGTGTGTATGGGTGTGTGTGTGTGTGTGTGTGTGTGTGTGTGTGTGTGTGGGTGGGTTGGTGGGTGAGTGTGTGTGTGTGAATTATGCAATAACTGAAGTTTTGGAAAAAGACAAAGCCTGAAAGTCTCTCCATCCAGTAAATATATTCTCACTCATGACTACTATTCTCCATAATGAGTTTATGCATCCCACCACCATCTGTCCCTGTTCTCACTTCAGGATCTTCAGCCAGGCCAGTCCAGCCTTCTAAGCACAACGTTCTTTAGCACAAAGTTAACACGTTTTTTTAGCACAAAGCTAAACAACACTAGTCTAGTTCTCTGAACTCATTCCTCTTCTACAACTTCACAGTCACTCTTCAAAACCACATTTGGCGATTAAAAAGCATTAAAAGTCTGCACTCGCAAGCGTTCTGTTGCTGTTGTAAGAAAACCTTGCATCGCCAAAGCCTATATCATGAAGAGTGTGTAATGACTGTTTTGACTTCGATGACTTCAATAACACGAAGCCAGTTTGTTGAAGCTACATGTATAAAATGATTCTATTATGATGCTACTACTCCAGCTAGTAAACAGTTCCACAGATCTCAACTAATTACTAGGAAGCTATAAATAATGCAGAAATTATAGAGTCCAGAATGATAAACAACTCTAGCTGATTTAACTGAGAAAGCTTTGTAACATCCAGAATGAAAATCTAATAAAATTAACATCTGGAATGCCTTGTATTTGAGTGATTGTACAGATGTCATTTAAAGGGCCTCTATCATGAAAAACTGAAACATTGTTACATTTCCAAACATACATTTCACTCCCCAGTTCATACAGTCCACATATGGAAACTAAGCTGCAAACAACAGCCTGTTTCGAATTCCGTGTTTTAGTGATGTCATAAAAACCAATACATTTCCATATATCTGCCTATTCAAGTTTAGCTCTGCCCACTCATGCTGATGTAAGGAGTCTTTCAACTGAGACTGCCTTTTTCTATAAGGTACAATACAGGGCTGCCAATTAGAACATAGCTCATTTACATATATCACTCTTAAAGGCAGAGAAACAAAAACAGCCTGTTTAACTCTAAGGGATAAGGAGAGAGTGGAAAATGGCCATGTAAAAATTTATTAAGCATTTGTGGAACATAAACCCCCAACTAATGTCACAAAATATACTAGGATGTATTTCCTTCAAGCACAAAATGATGCTACATTTAATCTATTTTGATTTTCTGATGTCCTCACTTTAACATTCACGCCTCGTTTAGAGAGAGTTGATTCAGGGATCAGTTTGAACAGAAGAATCCCACCAGAACTGCAAATGAAGGCATTCTGGCCCCTTCAATTTGATGTTGTTTCTACTTTTTGTTGTTTTGTTTGTTCGTTTCTGTGCTCCTCTCCGAAAATTATTCTTTTTTTTTTCATAATGTCATGTGAAGAATATGTAAAAATAATAGTTAATCCTTTTTCTCTTTTTGGAAAAAAGAATGACAATATGTGGATGAACTGTACATGTGAGATTTCCCTGTGAAACATAAAACTGATGAAACATTAATCATGTGATTAGCGTTTTTGTCATTTTTACTGATGTCAGTTTTGATAGTATTTGTGGTGTAATTGTTCTAAAGAGTAATCCTAATGAAAGCACTGGCAGGTGCATCAGTACTGCACTTTCCATCTGATGACATTTATACTTCACTGCCTTTTTTCCCAACACGCCCCCTTTTCTTGCTTATCCCTCTTTTTCCATCTCCCTCATTCCCTCGCTCTCTCCACCCACTGAGGGCATCTGCTCTCCTCTAATCTTTGCCTAAAATCACCAAGATAATCCCTCCATCCATCTGTCCTTTGGGGCAGAGCGGTACAGTCAGCCCTGTTGTCCTGCACCGACATCTAGCGGTAAAGAAGAGCAAATGCAGGCAAAAGCCAAGTCGGCCAATCAGGACTGTCCATGTTTTTTCTAATTACCTAAACAAATGACCTTTTTTTGCATCATATGAGTTGGAATGTTTTTGGAACACGTTGGTGACTCATTAGTGTAGCCTGTTGTCACTGTAATCTCCAGTTTTCATTTCACTCGCCATTTCCACTTAATAATAACTCTTGTTGTGGAGTGCCTTGTTTTCATTTAAACGATGCTTTATTTCCATTTAATACATTTCAGTTGAATGTACCTGGCGGGTAAATAGCTCTTTTGTGTATTATGTAAACAAATACTATTTTCCTATATTTATATTAGTTAAATAAAGTGACCCAGATTTTTTTCACTTGGCCAGGGTCCTGCACAGTTTGTTGACATACCTGCTCTGGCACACCTGATTTAACTCAGCTTTTGCAGGAAAATAACCAAACTGTGCTGGTCTTCGGTCCTCCAGGACTGGATTCGCCCGTCCCATCTCCGTGTGTAGCATTATTTTAGGCACATAACTTCAACAAACTTTGAAGTCATATAACATGAGATAACATTAACATAATTCATATTGTACCTTTCATTGAGGTTTTGTCTATAAAGTAGTCCACGAAGTAGCAAAATCAGATGAATCACCATAAGAAGTGGAAAATAAAAGCAAAAAATAAAGCAAATTTGCTTTAAACTGCAAGTGGGCTGCTCTTCGAGTACGTCTTTTCCATAATAACTCTATGCTGACCTCTTCTGTCCTGTTCATGTGGCACACAAACGGCTGATTGGTCAGGAAATGGATGGAGAACGCAAGAAGCGATCTTCCACGCTGATTGGTCCATTTTCTTTCTGTTTACTCGCCGACCAATAGCATGCGACTTTAGAACAATCTACGTGTCACAATTGGTCAGTTAGTATTATAATCCCGCCCCTCCTCGCCCACAATGAAACAGGGAGAGTCCTAGCCGAGCCGAGCTGAGCTAATGTGCGCCGCTTTGACCAGATTTATTTGGATTTCGCTGCCGAAACCGAAGACGAGACTCATATAAATGATTGTTGTAATGAAATACGAATAGTGCTGAATTCGCTACACACTAAATACACCCTGTACGAGTGTGTACAAATAGTTTAGAGCGAACGTAATGAGGCTCAGGGGCTAATCCTTCCTCTTCATTCAAACTAAATTGGATTTCTCCGCCTTTTGGGAATACGAGATTGATTTGACGATTCTTTTCAAGGTAAAAAGAAAACATCATCGGTCTTATTATAATCCGCATTACCTTGTTGCTGTTTGATGGCTGTTTACATTTAATCGGTAAAAAGTGCTGGAATACATTTTACGTTAGCTAGGTTAGCTAGCTAGCTAGCCACTTAGCCAGATTAGCTAACTAACGTTAAATGAATGTTCTTCGGAGGAGGTTCAGGTTAGCCGTTGAGCGACGGCCACAAATAGGTCAGTACAGCCATGGTTTTACAGACAGTTAATGAATTATTTAGTTTTACGTTTTGAGTTCACTGTCGCCTTGGCTGTCCACAGTTTGCGCAAAATTAGCTAGACTAGCTATATCACAGCTAACGTTATCTAAGAGTAGCTGTCCATCGCTACAGATGCGCTGACTGTGATTGTACGTAAACAAATCGCTGTAACTTGCTGTGGTTTTCAGATATCACCTTCATTTGTGGTGTCTTGCTACTTTATCTTGTGATAATGAAAGTAATATTGTCTACTTTTTATTTCTCCCAGGATGACAGAATACAAGTTGGTGGTAGTAGGGGCAGGAGGCGTGGGGAAAAGTGCACTGACCATCCAGCTCATCCAGAACCACTTTGTGGACGAGTATGACCCCACTATTGAGGTACATTATATTTCACGTTGACTACCTGTGAGAACGTGAAGAGCGTGTGTTGTATGTGGGGTGAAGAAGAACCAAAGGATGTCATTATTTCTGCTCAGTGTAATGCTCTTTTCTTGAACAAAGCAGAAAAGACCACTGAAAAACAGCTGGAATAGTGGGGAGGGTCACTTCTAGTGATATAACTTTCCTCTGTGGTAGACACACAAACCCACACTAACCAACCCACAGCCCAACACAATAAAATACAGTCAATACATAAACACAACAACAGCAACAAAAACTGTCCTTTTAATGGAGGCGGGGGCGCAGCTCGCCTACCACGCAACTGCCAAGCCCCTGAGGTCCCTTCTGAAACACGGAGCAGGCGCCAGAAACCGCTGTATATATTCAACTTATTGTAGCCCCTTAGTATTGTTCACAGTTGTAAACACTGATTTATAGGATGTGGTTCTCTTTAATGATGGAGAAAATTACAATAAAGTAGCATAGTATGATGTAACAAACATTTCAGAAGTGACTGGCTGTCAGTAAAGCATTGCACACCTAAATATATAATTCATTTTGTGAAAAAACACAGTTTTAGGATTAATGAATCTTTTTATGAGATGTGCCTCATAAGATGTCATAGATTGTAGCTTCTTTGTCTAAGGATGAGAAAAATCTCAGTAAAAAATTATAGTATTATGCAAGTGACTGGCTGTGATTTGTGTTCAGTAGCAGAGAATGTTACACACCCACTGACCTGCATTCAGGGTTAGATTCATAAAACCACATTTTGTTTAAGGTTTAATTTATTTATGGGTTTGTTTTTTGATGTTCCATTTTTGTCAGTGAGGTGCTGTTTGGAATATAGTCAGCAGCCTTAAACTAATAGCCCTATATTAGTGTGTGTGTAAATCCATACCTTAATCCAAAGGTGCCCAACCCTGCTGCTGGAGTTCCACCAGCCTGGGGAGTTTAGTCCCATCCCTAATCTTAACACACCCGACTCCAGCATTTGGGTGTGTCAATGGCTGCCATGGGCACTGCAAGAAGATAGGTGTAGGCAATAAGACTGTTATTGTTATTGTGAAAAAGTATGTCACAGTACATAGAGGTGGGCGATATGGCAAATACAGTAACATGATGATCCAAGACCTTTTTATGGTACTCATTGTGCATCACTGCTTTTGCATTTATTCTGAGGCATGATAAGCTAGAAATGGACAACAAAGACCCAATAGTCACACATTTAAAAATACCATTAAATACGAGTATAGCTCTTTTTATTCAATGGTTCACATGCTGCATTGCACTAAATCCAATTAAACCGGCCTAATTATGTTCCGTGATGAAAGAAACATGCAGGTGGTTCTTTAAGTACTGACAATATACACAATACACTTAGAAAAGCACTTGTGACTTAATGCAATACAGTTTATCATGATAACAATAAACATTGTCATATTGTCTACCCCTTTTCTGGTCTCTTGAGTGTCATCAGTACTTCTAGAAGACCGAAAAACTGCATGTATCATAAAAAATTGAATTCAGACCAACTGTAGAGAGCTTGCAAACAATGAGTGTATAATAATGGCATAAAATACAAAGTAGCTGATGTCAGCATATTATGTTGTATCTTAAATATTTGATGTAATGTCCCTTCTTCAAATTGTTTATTTTTGTAGACATAGTATAAATAAAAATTCTAAGTTTGGTGTGACTACTGTTTTGATGGTGCAAACTAAATACCATGCTATCTTTTATTGTGAAGCCAATTTGGCCACCTTTACAAGAGGATATGCAAAACATGTTTATGACCAGCATCAAAAAGCATCATCTACCTACACTGCTCCAGATATTCCAAAACAACTTGTAGTCATTGACCATTTACCCTCCGTTCAATGTAGGACTCTTACAGGAAGCAGGTGGTGATCGATGGGGAGACGTGTCTACTGGACATCCTGGACACTGCAGGTCAGGAGGAGTACAGTGCCATGAGAGACCAGTACATGAGGACTGGCGAGGGCTTCCTCTGTGTGTTTGCCATCAATAACGTGAAATCTTTCGAAGACGTGCATCTCTACAGGTACTTTCTTATTTTTTCCTATCTGAAGAAAGACTGAGAGAACTTGCTGCTGAATCGTACAGGATTCAGACGCTCTTTAGACTTTACATCTAAGGAAAGCTTTGGGGCCGATTTAAACTTTAGACCAAAGGTTTTTTAAATCCTGACCTTGAATCCAGTTTCCAGTCTTGGACGTTGCAGTCACTGGTAGGTATGATACTAGGTGGCCAATCAGTTACATCAACAGTTCTGTTATCTACCAGTGAATACAAACTACAGAACCAGAAACCAGATTCAGGGTCCAGATTTTAATGTAGCCAGTTTTGGACAAAGATTAAACCAAGTCAGTAACTATGGAGGATTTTGAATGGAGAAGTCACTTGATGAGTAATAATGCAAGGGCTGGATCTTTGAACTCTTGATGCCAAGTATTACATTGCATACATTACTGGAAGTCTTTAGAAATTTCTTGTAAGGCCTTTACCTTGGTAATATAATGAAATTGCACACAGTGTAGCAACTTCCTTTTCTTCAGAGAAGGCTGAAAAAGAAAAGTTGATGAGTAAGGGATTTAATTCTGCATTCAGGAATTTGTGTTCACTTCATAGATGTTTGCAGACTCTGTTCACCCATTTACAAAATAACCACCCTGTCTGTTGTGGATGTAGGGAGCAGATAAACCGGGTGAAGGACAGCGACAGCGTCCCGATGGTATTGGTGGGGAATAAGAGTGATCTGAGCTCTCGCACAGTGGAGACGCGTCAAGCACAAGAGCTTGCTCGTGGATATGGCATCCCATTTGTCGAGACTTCTGCCAAAACACGACAGGTGAGTGGATACCACGTGATGGCATGCAGATACCATATCGTTCAGTGATTTTTAAAGGGCCCTTATACAATTTTTCCCCTGAGGTCCACTTATAACATTTATGTGGTTTTATGTATGGGAAACAATTATAATTTATTTTTAGCTTATGATTTTCCAAACCCTTTTTATCCTTTACAGTTAAAATGGCCCTCTGTATATGAGCTCTTATAATCTGCTCTGTATTGTTGCCTCATACAAAAAGCAGTAGACAGGACTAAACTGCACTAGGTAGCATAGGTGGAGATGAGTTGTAAATGAGTTGGTTTTTGTCACTTCACAGAAACAGTGAATTCAAAACAGGCTGTAGTGTCCATATAAACACTTAAAATTAGCTTTGATTTCCACTGAATTAGAAGAAACCCTCCATTTTATTAGAAGTGTTCTAAGGCAAATCAGCTGTCAACACATAGTGGCAGATGTTTCAAATTAATAAATGCATATTAAAGCAACCATATACGAATTGTGGGTCAGAAATGTCCAGTATTTAGCCAACTTTGCTTGTGAAAGAAGAGTGAAATATCTTGCTAATAACTTTGAAGGTGAAGTTCAATATCCAAAGACTGACCTAATGGTGTTATGTTGAGCATAAGGTAAACATAGTAAAGTAGACATGGGAAGATGATTTCACTAAATTGTATCACTGTGAAATTGCATCAGTTCTAGCTGTTCTGATACGATCAGTTTGGCTCGAGAAGTGTGAGTATAAGATTCAGACGAATGTAATTAATAATGGTAAATGTCTTTACAGGGGGTAGAAGAGGCCTTTTACTCTCTGGTTCGAGAGATCAGGAGGTATAAGGAGACAAACCGCAGCAATAAGAAGAGCAAGAAACACACACAGAGACGTTGCATTCTTTTATAGCAATACTTACACCCACTCTTGCACTACATTCCTGGAATAGCACTGTGCGCACACACACATTCTGCTGTAGCATCTCAACCCTTCCCCCTCCACTTTCTCTGTAAAGGAAAAAGCTCACTTGTTAGTGCAAGACGATGAGATCATAGAGGAAGTGATCTGTTAAGAGTCCCAAGTCAGGAACTTCAGCAACAGTGCCATGGCTTCCACAGGTCTAGCTTTACTAGCAAAGTAATTACATTGAATGTACTGCTACCTTTTTTTTTGGGTGCTGTTTTGCTATAAGGGAACACATTGCTTGCCAACTGCAGAGGTTCCTGAATGGGACTTAAACTTTGAACCTCACTTGGAATGTTTGGACCATGTCTCACCAACTTATTCTCCCTTTACTCAAGAGCCTCAAACATGTATGAAACTCCAGCTCACCTATACGAAAACCAGGTCATGCTGGATTCTTCTGCCCCTTTTCATTTTAACATGTTCCATATGTACATCAGTTTGAAGTGTTCACGACTAAGCTCTGGACCTCAAATGAGCTTCCTACCTGTAACTAGCATGGGACTGTGCTTCAGAGGTTGTCTTGTATTTTGTCCTGTGGATTTAGAATTTATGGGTTCAGATGTAGAAGCCAGCCAACCCAGCTGCTTCTCTCTTTAGTGAGTGTTGGTGCTTAAAGGGTTCTGAACTCCTGCTCTATTATGCCCTTCAATAGACCCCTGGGAAAGGTACATTCAAAACCTTCCCACTTCTGTGTCCATACACCACTGTTTATGTCCCTGGCCCAATCCCACTTTTTCCAATAGTGCTATCCCTCAAAGTGGAAGCTTTGACCAGGCCCCAGAGAGAGAGAATTTTTTATTGCATTCACCCACCAATGCTTATAAATGAGGGAAGAATGCCACAGAAACATAGAACAGGCCTAAAAATGTGGTCTGACCACCTCTCTGATACATTCCTATTGTCATAGCGATGAGTTATAGGAGTTTTCTTTTTTTGTGAATAAAGAGAATTTTGGCTAAAATGGTGTCTGGCCTGTGTGTTAATGGTAACTTGTGGTATCTAGAGACTTAGGACCTACTCACCATCTTGTTGGAATTGCTCATAGGTTTGCCAATTAGTGTACGATGTAGCATGTTCTATGTTATCAGACCATGTTACACCTCACAGATCAGTTAGAGTATCACTCATCTTTATATGTTGTATGCTATTAATTTTTTAGACCATTGGGGTTTAAAAACTCCACTTTTGGAGACATAATTTAAAGCCACATTCTGTTGACTTACTGTTATTTGTCAGGTTATGTTGTATTCTGTAGGGCAGCTAGCTTGGTCACAATTATTACACAACCACTTAACTAGTTATTTTAGATGATTGCAGTTTAATACGCTACCTGCTGTCATTTCCCACAGTTAAGATTTCACAATCCTGTTATGTTGCGTCAAAACGTGAACTGTGTGTGATAGGTTGAGACAAATGTAAAAAACAGTAAATGCATTCATTGACACATAACAGGGCTTATAAAAACAAAAATTCTAACTGCTCTAGCATGTTGAGAGGGCAGGACTGAGTAATAGTTATTTGTTAGCAATGAAGGTAATTCTAAAGGTTTAAGCATGTATGCTGACAGAGTTATTATTAGCTTATTTTCACTCTGGTGAAGAACATGTAGCTTTACATAATTATACATGTAATTCTGTGTAACTAGACATTAATGTGCAGTATTGATTCAACAGTACAACCAGTGTTAGCTACTAAGCAAACATAGTTAGCAAGTAAGGTCATCATTTGGCCACTTGTACATTTTTTTTTTATTTTCGGAGTTGCAAACAACGACACAAATTGTAAATCAATTATTTCTGAAAGCCTTAAGAACAAGCCCTATCTGTTTGACAGAATTTACAATTTTTCATCGATCAGAGTTCTCCCACCGCAATACCCTGAGTGCACTGCAGAAATACACAGCTATTATGAATCTCCCTCACACAGCGATGAAGAAATACAGGCATGATGTCTGGCTTAATGTCAGCTATCTGGCTTACAGTCGTCTAACCCTTCCAAAGCAACTGTAGTGTTTAAAATATTTCTCCAACCTAAAACATGCATCATTCAAAAGAGTGTCTTTAAACCAGAAAATCTCAATTTCAGGACTGTTGGCACTGCTGTAACAGGTGAGAAAGCATATTTACAACGCATGAAGTAATGATAATGTTTTCATTTGGCTAAAGTGCCTCTTCAGACTGGTGATTAATTGACGAGTTGAAATGGATGCGTACCTGTTCTAGACACCCACCCTCTAGGACTGGAGTTTGACACCCCTGCTGGATATTTTTGGTTGACAATTCTCAACCTAACAGGGACACTGAAAATCCCAACAATGCTTCTGCACTGTCTGTCATCCAGACAATATCTGGTCAGCACTGGTCCTATGGTGGTCTCATTCAATTGACAGCTACTAAAATGTGCACTATAATGCCTAATAAACTGACAGCTTAGCGTACACATAATCAGGTAACAGATGCTAAAACCATTGAAACAGAACCAAGTGATGTATCAATTACACATTTTAGGTTTTCAGCTAGTGCTCCTTTTCAGGGTGACGTTAAGTGTTTAAAATTGTAGAGAAGTTCAGAGAAAAAAAACAAAATGTAGCATTTACAAAAACTTCAATTTTATTTATTTTCAGTATAAAAAAAGGCATTTGACTTTTTTTTTTTTTTTACAAATTGGTACACAAAAAACCCACCCTCTCAGAATGGAGCAGAGCAAGACTAAGGGAATGCCTAGATTTCCCTCACCAGCCAAAACGAGACACAAGCTTCTCTTGATCGCCGAGGTCTTTCTGAACCTTCTTCCTCATGTAGAATATGGGACAGTCTCGGCTACACAGACACGGAGAAATGAAGAATTCTGTGAGATGACTTGAAGAGTGCTTAAAATGTATTTAAGAACACTGAGTATTAACATGTGCGCACACACACACCTAGTACATAGCACATCTTCATGCAGGGATCCTTGGCAGCGCTGACACTGAGTCCACAGCCGAGAGAATTTCTCCTCCAGAGCTGACAGATGAGCAATCTGTAGAACATGCACACAAAACCCCACACAGCATATTACAGCCAAATATTTAACAGACCACACCTATCGCCAGAACATTTAAGAAACAAAATATTTCCCAGTAAACAAATTGCATTTACTGTTCAGATGGCCAGTAGTACAGTTCAATGCCTTCTCCTCCTCCAACATGACTGATTCGACTCAATCAAGCTAATTAAAGCTTGAGTCAGTTGTGGAATGCAGTGATTCAGCCTTCAGGGACTGGAATTACCTACCACTACCCTAAACATACCCAGAATTCAAGGCCTCTACAAACTGAAGATAAACACATGCATACCTCTTTTTGATAGAGCTCTGACTCTTTCTTCTTGCAGAAATCACAGACAGCAGCTACAGGGCGAGAGAGGGTTATTAGAACAGGTACATCTCTAAATTCTGATCTGTTATATTTTAAAGTAGTTTGGACAGGATTAATTTTACATAGGGAGGTGGGGTAATGTATGGAGGCACTCGAAGTATGTGCTTGTTTTCTCTGTAGCCCAAATCAAGCTGATATGTACTGTTCTACCTCAAGTGTACAACTCAGAGCACCAAAACGTACAGTGACAGAAAAAAGGTTGGATTTTATGCAGTGATGTTGACCGTTGATTGTAACTTCCCAAGCTAATGACCACTGCATTCACTTATAACTGCTATGAAGATGGCTATGGTAAATGAAATTATGATTAAATTAAATGTTTGGACATGTTTCCTATTTGCGAGAAGCCGAACTTATTGCACAAGGAACTGTGACAGCAATTATCAAGTAGCCCCTCCCATCTCTGTTATTTATACCAAGATCTCTTTTTCTGTGCAAACTTGTCATAACCATCACAGTCGCTCTGCGGTAAAATTACATTATCCCACCACCCCATGGAAAAGTGATCCTGTCTGAACAGTATTTATGTCTGAAATATTTTAAGGACTTCTGAGGATTTTAAGAAAAGTCTGACTTGCTTTAAGCATTCCACATCTCCTTTGAAACATACCATCTGTTTTGAGAACAGCTCTGCAGCCGATGCATGTGCTACGTTTCTGGGCAAAGGCCATGAGGCCACCCACCCTGGAGGTCAGAACAGTCTTACAGCGCGTGTGATCTCCCTCTGAAACAGACGGCATATACAGTGAGACTTACTTCAGATTTAATCGATAGTTTACCACTGTGACAATATCAGTGAAATGAAGTATAAGCAAGGTGTCATACATTAGACATTACTGTCATTTAGTCATTAGCAGAATTACTATCGCACACAGAACTATGAGAGATCATTGCTAAACCGCTCATTAGCACTCTACCCTGAAAGTGGTTAAAGGTTTTAGAAATCCAAGAAGAGTGCAAGTGATTCCACCCATTCTCTGCCCTCAAAGAATGTAGACTTATTTAAAAACAGGCTGCTCACATGATTGGAAATGAATGCTTCTAGTAATAACTTGGGCATACAAATGTACCTATTTACACACATCCACACACTTTTACTCACTGAGTAATACACTCTCAGCCTTAGTCTCTCCCAGTATGGGCTCAAAGATGCGCAGTAGAGGTTTAGACAGCTGCTGCTCCAGGTAGTACTGGGTGTCAATAGGTATGTTGTTCTCCAGCACATAAATGGGGTCCTGAACACACAAACAAGCAGAAATGTTTTTCAGTTCATCACAGTATCGGGTGGGCATTGCTCAAGAATATGATGCCAATCTTAATGCAGCTACTGATACCTTGATTTCGTTACTGACCTGTGAACTATACTTTTTTTTGGATATCCTTGTTTACTTTACTAAAGTGGGAGTTGATTAAGCCAGGAATGAGTGCACTTTGTATCAAAGTGGGTACAGTTACTGACCGCAACAGACTAATAAAGAAGCAGATGTCGCTCACTGGCATGCAAATGTTACTTACACAGCCAATCAGCAGTCAGGTTTTAGGTACTGAAACTCAGTACTGATTGACACTGAATATTTTAAACCCTGTACTACTTAAGTAATTTGGTTGGTGCCACAGAAGTACTGTACAATAGAAAGTGAACTCCCTAGCATCTGCAAAAATGCATGAAAGGAGCAGTTAAAGCTGCTGGATGATTGTTTGTAGAAATTACATGGAATACAATCTCACTAATGTCACAGTTGCTCAAACCATTTTTCACGTCTCCTATTAAAGAGGAATTCCACAGATTTTCCAAAATTTTGGGATAATTCAATTGCTGAGACGTAAAAGTCATTCAAAGTGATTTGATGTGAAACGGTGCATTGTAGAGAAACTTAACAACTATTTCTTTACAGTGGTGGTGATAAAATATAGGGGTCGAGATTTGTATATCGCAAATACAGCTATATTATTCACTATTATTTGTCTTCTGAATTTTTATATGTAATGTAATGTTAAAATAGAGGTAAACCTGAAAAAACCTTTCTTTGGACAAACCTTTCTTTGGACACTTTTGCCTTAGAACGTCTTACAAACTCACCTCAAATCTCATTTTTTAAAAATTCGTAAAAAAAAAAATGTATTCGTAACCATATACGTAATGATTTTGTGAACAATTCTGACTTTTTTTTCTGACGTTTCTCTAGAACAAAGCATTTCACATCAAACCACTCTGAATGATGTTTGCATCTTAACCACTGAATTATGCCAAAACAATGTCAACAATAAGGTTATACACAGGCAAACACATCCCAAAAACAGCCGGACAACAGAAACACTCTACCAACCTCTGACTTCATATATGCTGCTACTCCTTTGGCTGCCTTAATGATGACGTATGGAACTCGATCGCCAAGATTAGGAGCACTGCCTGCATCTCGCTTGCGCATCCTATACATGCACACAGATATCAGATATGAACAGTTCTACTGAATTAGTTCAAACTGCAGTCACAGTTAAAAAAAAGAAAAAACTTGAGTAATATTTCTTTTGTAATTTTAACTTTTTTTATCTTTCCGATTTCTTTTAAAGTGAAGTTGAAAGAGTGAGATTTATGAGTTAAATTTTTAAATAAAAAAATAAACTTTATTAATTAAAAAAACTGATGTTCCACATTTTCATGTCACTACCGAAACACAGTTTCAGTCCAAGGTCAGCACCTTATTTTAGTCACACTGCATTTTAGATGATTCATACCAAAGTGGACCCAAATATCCTTAGTAATATCACATGAAATAATATACATTTCCATCCTCACACAAAATAAATAAACACACACCTCTCAGCGAGTTCGACATGGGCCTGTTTGCCTGCATACTCCTGCGCTGTGCGTGTCAGTTCCTTGGTAATGACCAGCTGACTGATGTCAATCCGGTTACATAGTAGATCTGAGATCACCTCTTTCGCATGGCCTACAGCTCCATCAGGATCTCTACAACACACACACATTCATGCAATCAAATTACACTGAACGGTTCAAGTGAGTCATTAGAAACCTCTTGACTAACCAGCTCTGTGGTGTTTATGGGTGTGTACCTCTCTATGAGGATCTTTTGGAGGCATGTGTTGATGAGGTTGGCCACTAGGGGGCAATTGTCTCGCCTGACAGTTTCTATCCCCTTACAGTCCATTTTATCATGATGTTCTGCACTGGATGAGAAATACAGCCCGGCATACCTCTTCTTATTGATCAGCAGGTAGGGGTAGTACACCTGAGAGAAAGACAAAAGTTCTTAAGCATACGCTTATAGAGCATTTCTTTACGCCATTAAATGCCTCCCACCTGTCTGTACCTTCTCAAACTCTAGTTTAATTGGTGGAATAAAGTGAGAGGACACCCAGTCAGCTGCCTCCTTTCCCAGAGTCATTGCTTCCTGTACTGTGTCCACACCCAGTTTCACCATGACAGAGTCTGTGTCACCATAGACGACCTAGAGAGACACAAAAATATAAGTCTGATATTCAAAGGGTAAACGCTGCTTATACAGATCTGCTCGTCTATAGGCAAGTTTCTGCATGTCACCTGTACCATTGTCTCCTGTGTGGGTGTCTTACCTTGGCATCCGCCTGATATCCGTTAGCAATGGTGTACTTGGATTCCACAAGTTGTTTAGTCTGTTCAATCATTTGTCTGCCAAAGCCCGTTACGCTCTATGCACAAACACAAGGTGTAATTAATATATTAACAAAAAAATAAATAAATAAATAAATAAATAAAACACCAAGTATCCCACACATTTTCGATTGAGTATGTGACATAGAACCACAAAAAAATAACAGAACAAGTAGCCAACATTTTGTCTCACATTAAGCAAACTGGCGACAATCAAGAGGAGCCATGAATGGAACTATTTCAAACAACTGGTAGTGTGACACAAAATATATGTCTACAACACAAAGATAAATTATCAAGCCAGCTGACCCTTCAGGTATTTATTACCACTTATGATAACGTTAGCTGCACGCAATAAACAACTAAACCTGTGTTTATTTCTTATTTATAATAAAAACTCAGCGTTATATCTGAACACTATTCATTTAAAATGCAGATATTCCAAAAACATAAATGGTTTGAACACTTATGCTTATGCTAGGTGTGAGGAGTGAGTCTGACCTGTGAGATTTCCAGGCAGGGCAGTTTGCCCACTTGTGCCCCAGTGAAACCATACACAGAGTTTGCGCTAATCTTCAGAGCAAGCTGCCTGCCGTCCAGCACCTGCTTCTTAAACGGGTCAGTCTCTTTCTTCAGCTCAGCCTTCGCCCTAAATGCACAATACAACAAGGCTGAGGGCTCAAACAGATGTTTCCTAAACGCAGACCGCACATTTTTTTATTTTTCCTGCTTTAAAATATCTGACCTCTCTCACAAAAAGCCTGATAACTGGTGCAGTGGGTCTTAGGACTGGGACTGAGAATGCAAGATTTATGCAATCAACATAGTGCATACAATATACTTCTAGCTAAGAGCAAAGGTTCCCAGTCACCAAGCAGTGAACCAGTATCAGGTTGTTTGGTACCAGGCCACAATGCAGCTGATAGCAGCTAGTAGCCTGAAAGTGGAACTCCAGCATTTCATTAATACAATAACAGTATTTTGTATTTAAGTCTTACTTTTTGCCATTAAAGCATTTACATAAACTAATTTTATGTAATCTTAAATATATTGGCCTACATCATGTCTTTGCATGGTCTCGTACATGTAGGTCACTACTGGCTGCTGGCAGTTGACTGCTACCATAAATAAAGTAAAAACTGACACTGATTTTTTTGTTATTGGGGCAGCAAACCCAGAAAAAAAAATCCATCAAAGACAAGAACAGAAACAATACCAAGAAAAAGAAAAAAGGTAGTATGATCACAGCTACACAAAGTACAGCTTTGTCACTGGGGATGCTAAAGCCCCAAAAAGCATGTGGTTTGCAGGGAAACACTAGTGAATGGGACTAAGAAACAGTCCAATTACTTTGCCATTTGGAGACAAAACAGCAAAACATAAGCTATTCATGAGCTTTGACCTTTATGTTTTATCATTTCTGGAAACACTGCAGAATCCTACTGTGGAACAATCTGACAAATTGCTGATTTAGGAGTTTTCAGTCACCCCTGAGTTTAGGACATGACAACATCTACTGAATTTTGCAATGCTTCAACTTGATCTGAATACACTGATGTTGGGGGCACTTTATTTTACTTCTGTTTCACTCTCTCAAGTCATACATCTAAAGTGAACTAACATGATTGGGTGTGGCTTCATTCTCTTACCTCTTCCTGGCACTCAGTAGGTTCTCCAGGATCTCAGGCAGAAGGCCTTTCCTCACCGAGCTTTTAACAAACAGATCTCCTGTAGGAGTCTTAATGAAGTCCTCTGCAGAGAGACTACATACATGCAAGCCCCCGTGAACACACATACATTTCACTAAAACATGGCATGCTCAAACATTACATCAAACACAAACACTCACCCCAGTTTGTCCACCTGTCCCTTCTGTAGCAAGGTAGTGTAGCAGAGATTATGAGCCATCATAATTGATGGGTACAGTGAGGAGAAATCCAGAGTGGCTATAGGAACGCTGTAGTACCTGTTTACATACCCATGAAACAGTTTACAATCACAATAAGCTTATGGCAACTCTACTCATAAACATTACATTATACATAAGTATAACGGATGATCATAATCTTTTTAAAATGTACTCGTCTTTAAAAAACACACTTTAAAAATGGATACTGTAATACATGGGTTTTATCAATTTGGCCCACAATCTGAGTAGGTTAATAAAACGTTGAATACACTCACCCTTTCTCTGGTTCAATGACCGTGGCTCCAGTGTAATCTTCCCCTCCCTCTGTCTTGACTACTGGCATAACCAAGTCCTGCTTCATAGCCTACACAAACACACATACACAACATATAACTAACAGTCAAAACAGTTCCCTTATTTGTGATGTGCTTGACTTGTGTATATGGGTCTACCGCACTGTTTGTGTGCATGGTTTTACACACCTGTCGCAGTAGCTGTGACACTACTTTAATCTGCTGGCCACGGGACAGCAGGTAGGTAAGAGGCACACCAGTCACTCTGGCCATCTCCATGTAGTTAATTACACACATCAATTTCTGCAGCAAGCGCAGTGGCAAGTATGCATCCTTCAGACAGTAAACTGCCAAACGCCGCCTCGTCTGCTCATTCCCATTCTGCAGACAAAGAGAGAGGTTACTCACATTCATTGAAAGTCTGATGATTATACATGCCTTCATTCTTTATGTAGCTGTCCAGTGCAAACTGCATGCCTAAATCATCCATTTGCTTCAAACCAATGCAGGCTGTGAAGTAATCTCAAATAGACTTGCTTTTATAGTTTGTAACACAGAGTGACACACTGACCTATTAGATAGAAAAACAAATTAAAAGCATGTTGCATAGCAAAAAACAAGTAGTAGACATCTTGGAGACTGATTTTATCAAAGAGGCTCAGGGGTAGGGGTGAGTGAATGTGCAATCATCACTAAGCATCTTGCCTCCAAACTCAAAGGCCCAACAGCAGTGGTCAGAGGAACCACCTTCAGCTAAAGACTTCCAATAGTCAAGTCACGTCAAAGTTTATTTATATAGCGCTTTTTACAACAGGTGTTGTCACAAAGCAGCTTTACAAATCAATCCGGGTCCAAGCCCCCATGAACAAGCCAGTGGCAACAGTGGCAAAGAAAAAACCTCCCTAAGAGCAAGAGAAAGAAACCTTGAGAGGAACCAAGAATCAAAAGGGGAACCCATCCTACTCTGGTCGACACCAGACAGCAAAACAATAACAGCAGAGAATGAAATTTGATCATTAGTATAACATACGGAAAAAGGGGAAATACCACAACAGCACCCTGCAGCTTCAGTTCTAGTTGTAGTTTATTATATTAAACCCAGTGCTGCATCCTGAGCTCTGACTGGCTGTAAGAACAGAAAGGTTGCATACCTGTAGGTCAGTGATGATGGAGTGCTGAACATCCTCTTTCTGCTCCTGCAGGAAGTGAAAGCTGACAGCGTTGAGAGTATATGAGCGCAGTTTATAGTCCCTCAACAGTACCTGCAACAGACAGCACATCACACTGCAGCTTAGAGGGTCTGTACATCCTTTGCATGTTACTACTGCCCAAGTGTCTGTGTAAAAGAAAGAGTTAGAGAGTGTTTCTACCTGCAAAAGGTCAAACTGCACTCTTCCCTCCATGTTGACAGTTTTGTTTTCTCGGCGACCCATCTGCTTGCTCTGGAAGCTGGAGTCCTTCAGAACAGACTTAATGCCCCTTACTCGACCCAGATAGGGGAAGAAATTTACCTACAGAGAGAGAAGCACAAACATCCCAAATTATGAGGCATGTCTCCAAGCCCATATGATCATGAGAAATAAACCAAGTACGTATCACTGCAGTTGTATACTACAACATAAGCAAGCGCATACATTTGTGCACATATATACACAGAGCATACACACCTTCAGAGCGGCAGCTCTGTTCAGTAGATACGGCAGGTCAAAGTTTTGAATATTGTATCCTGTAATGATATCAGGATCTACTGTCCTCACAAACTCTGCCCAGCTCTGAGAACAGAAATGAGATTCATCATACAGCATTCATTAGATCATAGAGAGAGGGTTCATCACATCAACAACAAGACTTATACTTAACACAAATTATACATACATAAATTAGGAGCGAGCAATATGACGTTATTATTGTGATAAATTATGCCTTTAGGTTAGAACGCTTTTCCGATCATATTGTGGGTGTAGGATGCAGTCAGTACTCAGAGTACTGACCAACTGCATGTTTCATTCCAAACAGAACATAATTAGGCCTGTTTTAATTTGACTTATTTGAAATGGTATGTATACTACGACAGTATGTTTTAAATATACCAATGCCAGATGTTTTTGTCTGTTCAAACTTATCAAACCTCCAAAAATTGAAATACTATGATTTATATTGTGTATCATAAAAATGTTTTTGCCATACTGCCCACCTTTAACAGAAAAACATAACTTTCACAATTCAACATGAACCATGTTTGGATTTTCAAACAAAGGAGAGCAATGAAGTATGGATGTACGCATGTTTGTATTTTAGAGATGCATTTGGTTTGAAGGTGCTTTGCATACCTGTAGTAGTTGCTTCTCTTGAGTGAAGCAGAGAATCTGAGAACCCACTATACTAGCACAGCTCTGTAAAGTAAAAACAGTACGGATAAAGGGCTCCTTCTCTCCTTGACGCTGCACCATAGAGGCAATTTGAATCACAGGGTCCACCTCAGCCTCTGGAAACACACCTACAACACACAGACATGTCTGTGAGCCTTTACAGTGACTTCAAATGGCACTGTAAGAATAACTCTTTAAACCCTTGGAGGACAAAGGAATGAAAAAATAAATCAATAAAATAAATACATGTAAACTTAAAGGTTTTGATGGAACAGAGAAAAAGGAACCAGTAGTGCCTTTTTTTAAAAACTACCAAAACTACCGATTTTTATTCAGCGTTTCACATAATGTACTGCGTTAAACATCTAGTGTGGTTTCCCTACTTATGCTCTTAAAAAAAAACATGCTGTTGGTCTGTGTTCTTTAAGTACCAACGTGTGTACTCAGTAAAACATACTGTGACATAATGTAATTTATCATGATAACACTAGATATCATCATATTGGCCAATGCTACTTGTGAGGATGATTGGTTTTTATGCTCTAACTAGATGCACAGTAACATCACTCTCTAGCACACTCTTACCTTTCCTGCCAGCACACTCAATGTCAAAGCTGAGAACCCTGAGAGGCGCAATTCTCTGCCAGTCTCCCTCCGCTGGGTGACTGATCAAATCTGTCCAGCCCACATCCACCTCATACTGACACAGAGAAACCTTACAAACACACAGAGAAAGACAGAACTGAATCAAAGCCTCTGATGAGTACACAGACCCAGACAATGACGTCAGGAGGATGTAGGTTTATGTAATGATGTAAGTGTCGTGAAGTAGTTAGATATATTACTTCTTTGTCTGCATTTGTTCTTATACATTAACATGCTGAAATGCTGATGCTATTGGTCTGTACATTAATTTGTTTTTGTATGGTTGTGTATTTTCTGTAAGGTATCCTAAGTGAAGAAGCTACGTAAATAAAATGTATTTTACCTCCTAAACAGCTGAGACAGTTATTACCTTGCCCGGAGTGTCCGAGTCCGTCCCTTTAGCATTTTTCTCCTCCCTCAGTTTGTACTTCCCTTTAGGCAGCTCAATCCAGCAGCAGCCCACCACATCACTGTCTACCATGAACCTGTTTCCCACAAACCCACACATGTAATGCCAACCAAATTCTGCACTGGTAAAGTGTAAACAGCCTGATTATTTAATACTTTAACAATCAAACACTGTTGTAAGGACACATTTCACACAGCCTAAAAGAAATAGGACAAATCAGCATTACAGCAACAGCAAAGAACTTACTTCTGGAGGGACAACAGCTGTAGCGCTGCATTGGAACAACATGATTTTGTACTAATCCTGAGAGTTATTTGAGAGTATGGCAGCAACAAATGTTCAATAATACTCAATAAATTTGATCATTAAAATGTTCAAAAGTGGTAAAGCCATTCAAAAAGGACACTTACGAAAATATGCACTTTTTAGGGGAAACTAATATCTGTTTATCAGGCTAAATGCTAGCTTGTCAATAACAGCTCACAGCTGCTAGCTCTGCACACCAGACTCTTTGAAAATGAGCACAGTGACAGGACTCCATTTGTAACTGATTTGAGGAGAGGATTGGTTTTAACGTCCAACATAGACCAAATAAGTTTTTGCTCTTATTGCTCCGGATTGCTAGTGAGCTAGCATCCTCTCTGTGACATTCATGTATGAGAATAAATGAGAGCAAGCAGACTAGCAAGCCGTCTGGAGCAGAAGGAAACTACTCAGACTGCACCAAATTCTAAGACTGGGGAAAAGCTCAAATATCTATTATGTACTTGGGTATGTAACATGATAAGATTTTACCATTATTGCCAATGTTTAGTTTCAGTCTGTTCTGTTTCAATTTACTGGTAGCTGCTTCCGCTGCTGACTGGACGTGAGTTATCCACCAGGAAGTATAGCCGAATTTTATGCTTCCAAATATTCTGATTTGATGTTACAAGCACCACACAGACACAGGGATTTTCTGTCATACTACTGTATATAAGAATATTAAAGCAGGTGAATAACATAGACTCACATACCTGATCTCAAAGTCAATGTTGGCCTCATAGGCAGAGTAGCTCTGGATGGAGAAGTTTGCAAACTTGAAGCCCTGTTCCAGGATACGTTTCGCAGGAGCAACCAGACGTGGCATCGCCATGGTGATCCGCAGGAAGGCCAAAGGATGGTTTCCATGGTAACCGTACATACCTCAATAAAAACAAAAGATAACTAGCAAAAGATGATCACACATAAACATAAACTTACACGCAACAGACGGAAGACTCACTTTCTTTGCGGGTAAGATCCACCGCCAGAACAGTGACTGATATGTTGTCTTTATTGGAGCGCATGTCCTTCAACACAGCTGAATTCAGCTCCTTCTGAAACTCAACCAGGTGAGAATGAGTAAAGCCTGAAAAACAGAGAAAACCAAGATTTGTTAAATGCATTTCCTAATATCTGATCAACATAAGAGTGAGACCATCCATATTTACAGATCATATTCCTCAATGTTTCCTATATTTAACAAAATGGCGAAGTAACTCATCAAGCTCACAATAGGTGACATTTCAACAGGTAATCACTCATAATGTCTAGTTATTGCTGTGAGTGAGTGCGCTGGAGTGATGGTGGCTGTGGCTCACCAGCTGGAGCAGGGACATAGAAATAAGGTGCAAATCCATGCACATGACAGCAGACACTGTTGCCACTGTCAGTCACTCCAAACATACGGACCACTGGAACCTTCCCCTGGACCTGTCCTGGCATCCCAGCCACCGCAGAGCCTACACACATGCATAGAGTTAGAAACAGCAACACATTATACTGACAGCTGTTTTCACCCCAATGCAAGTTGAGAGTACTTTACCCAGGTAATAGTCCAAGTCTATCTGCTGGAAGATGAGTGTGTCTTTGTCAGGCTGGAGTGGAGGCGCAGTAGGCCGACGCCAGCGAGGGTTTAGATCAGCAGAAAACAATTCACCTGTCCGAAAGGAGACGGTAAAAAAGGTTACCATTTATTTCTCACCATACCGCTCTTCATCTCGCACACTGACAGTACCACTTACCCACTGGTATTACATCATGACCCGCCTGCCCTTCCCCTGACTCCGCCTCCATGTCCATATCATCAAATAGGGCAAGCTCTTCCTCAAACTGGGATGGGCCATCCTCCCACTCAGTACCCATTTTTCCCCTCTTAGCCTGGGAGGCTCCACCTGACATAGGCCCGCCATTCCGTCTCTTAATATCCATCTTTAGCAGCTACATGGAAACACAAACATGTTAGGTCAACTCTGCTAATGCACTGTGTGGCATCTTCTTGTAACAATAACATTAACATATAAAATCTCAGTGGAGCAAACAGCAGGATATCACTTAGAGCAATATGTACTAAGAGGCACATAATATAGGAGTCTTAATCGTGTAATGAGCAGTTCACACGATCTGAAATCATCTATTAAATGTGCTCACCTAATAAACAAAATGCTATTAATGCCTGCAGGGACTTAGCACTGAATCTGGACTTGAGGCCACCCAGACCTTGAAGACCTTTCCCCATTACACCTACTTGCTTTGGACAGCTGCAGAATTAAAGAAACACCATCAAGTTTTCAAAATCTCTGCATAATTAAATGGTTAAATTGTCAACAAAACCACTGAGAGGGGTTTGGTGTGAAATGCTTCATTCTAGAGAAACTTCATCTAAAAGTTAGATTTTTTTCAGTGGTGATGTCTCTAATAGCACCCTTACAGAAAATGAAAAGGTGAAATACGGGTTATGAATACACTGCCTGATGTCCGAGACATTGTTTTACGACAGTTTTGTGGTAAAGTTTTGGTCTAAAACGCATTGTAATCAATTTACTTTAATCCATTTATGGTGGAGGGACACAAGCATGGCAAAAGGCAAAATAGTCCCCAAAGACAACTTTTTTTTTTCCAGATTAATCATTATTTTGCCATCATGAAAATAAATACAATAGCTTTATTTTGCATTGTAGACATTGAGACCTTTGGCTCCTACCATCACCACTGTGAAGAAATGAGTCGGTACGATTTTATACAAACAACCCACTTTATATCAAATCAATCTGAAAGACTTTGTTTATATCTCAACCACTGAATTTTGCAGATATTTTAAAAAACGGTGTTATTTCACTTTAAAGCTGGAGTCAATGAATGTGATTCTGCAAAACCATAAAAATGAACTAACAAGATGTTTAATCAGTCGTTTCCATCACTATGTCTGTCCCTCATATGTGAGCCCCATGATGGGGTTTTAACATGTTCTGCTTGGAGCCACACAATAAAGCTGTACGCAGACGCCCTGGATACCGCACATATTTATATTTATATTTTTCTATTTATCAGCTTCAGTTCACGTGGTGCTACTTTTTCGTGGTCCGTAAGGCAGCAGTGGAAAAACGCTAACTTTTCGCATGCTCAATAGTAAAAATATGAATATCAGCTTACACTTATACATGCCGGTACGTTAAAAACAACCCGTGAAAACGAAGCCTTGTCAGAAAGAGCGAAAACGGAGAAAATTCGCAGTAAATAACATCTTACTACAACTCAGCTAGACACAAAGTTTACTTTACTAGCTAACACTAAACACAAGCCAATATTTCAATTATCTTTCAAATAACAGTCAGAATCGTAAAACAAGCTACATTCTCCAAGACAGAAGCACGTATCTGTAACCACTGCAACTTCAGTTATCATTAAGTTAGTTGGCTACGACCTGAAACGCAGCAATAACAAACCAGACAAACAGCTCAGGCGGCTAACTTTAGCCGAGCACATGCTAACATACTGCACGAGCTGATTAACCAGTCGCGAGCGCGCTAACCAGCCAACCTGTACAAAGACGCCGTGCACTGTCCGACACGGTTAGACACTTTTACGTTGCAGCGCGTACGTTTCGGTTAAATAATGAGTGAAGTTACTTCTTTATCCGGACTGAATCTCCCGCCACTTCGGCTGCATTCGCGCACTGAACGTCCCCCCAGCGCGCGATTTCCGTTTTCCCGGCAAAATTGCGTGACAGGGGGCACGCGAGGTGATTGGCTCACAATGAGGAAGCGACAAGCGCCATGTTCAACTGCGGAGTACAAAATCAAAGTCATTTTTCAGGAAGAAAGGACAAGCAGAACATTTTAGATTTACAAAGAGATCGGTAGAGTAGCCTAAACCCATGCTTAAGTAAAAACTCAAGTAAACGTAGTTTCACTTTGTAAAACTACTTTAAACTTTAAAAATACCTTGAGCAGAAGTACAAAAGTACAAGGTAAAACAAAAACTACCAATACCAAAAAACATTTAGAGTCGCTGTGGACCCAACGACTTTGTACGAGCGTTGCTCATTACTACCAGAGAACTTCTAGAGAGGGGAATTACCTCTCCGCAAAGTCTTCCGGGTTGATCAAACGCTAGAGGGCGCTCTCGAGCAAGTCCAAAATGAATGGGTTAAGAAGCAGCATTTAGCTAAGTAAAATCATAGTTAAATAGGAAAAGGGAAGAGGCTCCTCATAAAACAGCTCTGTTACGACATCCAACACCTGTCAGCAGGAAGTTTGTTACATTCTTTTTTTCTGTTACTATACAAAACACTGACGTCCACTTGTGTCTGCGTTTATTAATCACGTTGATTTAGATGTTTCAAGAGCCCAACCAAGAAAAAATGAAATGCACATAAATAAATGAATTGTGTGTGAATATAGTACTGAATAGCATTGTCAATTCTTTTTCCTCCTCCGGTATTATTCAGTTCTGGAGACACTTTGCACTTCATAGTGCTTTCCATACATAGCTGCTCACCTCACTAGCTTTTTAAATCCTCCTTCTTGAGATGAAAACATAAAAGTGTGCTATGAAGATGGCCTACAGCACTAGTCTTACACTAGACAGCAACTGCAACACAATGTGCAAGTTTATCTGCAAACCTAAACTATTATGCTAGCCTAGACATTGAAGGTTTTAGAATTGTAAATAAAGAATTATAAATAACGTAAGTTGTGAATGATCCATTTGTGAAATAGTTACTATGGAATGCTTTATGAATAAGAGAGAGATAAATAGGCATCAGAGCTGTTTGTGTAGTGTTGATGGAAGCTAACTGTTGAGATATGTTGTCAGTAAATTGTGACACTGTTTATATGAGGTGCTCAGTAAAGATATTAGGGGGTCCGGTCATCTGAGGCTCCCCCTGCACAATACGTCCCAGCACAACTGCCCACCCCAGCATCCACGTTAGTCATACCCTTACCCCAAAATGATCTCGGATCAAAAGAAAAAAAAACAGAAAATGCCATTTTCTTCTGAAGACAAATACTTTTTTGTTAAAACTGAAAAGATCAGACTGATGTCGAGAACAGCAGCAAAGGTCACCTCTAACCACACAGCTCCGCTCTGTGGTGCTCACTAAACCCACCCCAATTATTCCACAACAGAACACAATAAAACGAAGCCAACACGTACTACACGTAAACACATCTTAAACGAACAAACAACAATAACACCAAACGTCCTTTTAACGGAAGAGGGAAGCGCGTGCGGGCTCAGCTTTGCATATCAAAAAAGCCCCTCTTAAAGCATGGACCCCAGTATGTATGTGGGAGTCGTAACATCTCGACACGCCACTGTAGTCACCACTATGCTCTCATTTGCCCGCTAGCCTGCAGTATAAATAACCACGCTGCTGCCCTTTTCTCTGCTGAGGGAAAAATCATTCAGCATTGAAAACAGTGTCACGTTCCTCCAGAGTCGCAGGCGCAAAATTGACGCGCGGCTCAGCCAATCAGGTGAAGCCGAGGCCTCCGCGTCAGCCTATCAGATTGCTCAAAACCTGTACGTCAGAAGCTGTGTGTTCTCTGATTGGCCGGGCTCCTCCTCCGCGGTCACGTCGTGCTGTTTGGTGATTGATTCGCGCAGATGGGAGAGCGTTGCTAGAGAGGACGCCGCTGCAGGGTGAGCTCCACTCTTTCTCATATTCTACCTTTTCTTGAGCGCGTGAAGCGCTCTGTTTGAACCGAATCTGCTGTGTGCATGATGACACGTAGAAAAATGTGCGCGTTATCGCGTGAAAATGAAATCCTGCGTTCGTGCTGCTCGTGAAAAGAAGAAACCCCACTTTTCTGTCCTTCCTGATGTCCTGATGGCGTGTGTCCATCAAAGTGTGTAAAGGAGCGGGGAAAGGAGCAGTCATGGCTTTTGCCCAGGAGACAGCTGGTTCTGATGAAGTCGTGCGTTAGCGCGCGGCGCTGGATGTTATTCCCGAAGCTGAATTCGGCTTCTTTGTCGGAATTTTCCTGTCCACCACAAACGGTCCAGCAGTAACATTGTGGCATCTCAGGCCGTTTAAGGTGGAACGAAAAAATCCAATAAGAAGCCAATTTCAGCGTCGCGTATTATTCTGGGGCGAGCACGAGCGCCTCTGTTGTCGTGGTCACGGTGTGACGTGACACTCAGCGTGGCGAGAAAGAAGGCACGTACGCCAGAGCTGGAGCGCGCGCGCGCCTCCAGTATGTGAATGTGTGAGAGCCTCCGTGAAAGGAAACAAGGCCCCAGTCTTGCGCTGAACGGCTTTCAGCCTCAAGCCGAGCTGTGAGATACAAGCGTGTCTTTTCGTAGAGTTCGGCCAGCGAGGGACTGAGGAGGAGAGGAAGGGGGTGTGTATGTGCGTGTGCTCCCGTCTTGAAGGGCGCGGGTTGTCTCTGTGTTGTAAATCAGACTTCCTCTATGTTCCATCATGGGTCTCTCTCGCTCTCTCTCTCTCTCTCTCTCTCTCTCTCTCTCTCTCTCTCTCTCTCTCTCTCTCTGTCATTATTTCGTGACCTATGTAGTGCACTAAATAGGCCGTAGGGAGTCGTTTGAACCATCCCTTCCTCGCTCCCTCCATACATCCCTCTGTCATCTCTGACCTCTATCACAATCACCTTGTATGGCTCAAGACTTTCCCGCTTTAATTAGCGTTGTAGATGGCTAGAGCCGAATCTCTCTCTCTCTGTGTGTGTGTGTGTGTGTGTGTGTGTATGTATATGTGTGTGTATATATATATATATATATATATATATATATATATATATATATATATATATATATATAAACACACTAATATGTATGCTACATTTTTGAGAACATCACAAATAGATATCTAAACCTGTCAAACTCAGTTTGCAGCTTTCCTCTCTTCAGTCTGATGTCCAGCATTACGATGTTGCCAAATCAGCCTTCTCATTAGGGCAACGGACGATCTGATCGCTTAAATCCACAGAAGCTTTTGTGGTCATTTTTGTGGGCCTTGAGTTGCAAAAGTTTGAGAACCCCTGATGCAGAGAAAGTACTGTGTTGTTTTGTTTATTCTGGTTTGGTCGATATTCAGTAGTAATTCAGCTTCCAGTTACCTCAGATGGAGGCATCGCACCCAGCTGGTCTCGATAACAATTTCCAAGTCCACCTTACCCTGAAACTGAGACAAAACTGAGTCCAAATGAGGTTTATGGTCTCGAGACTGAGACGGGACTCGAGTGCTGCAACGCTACATCCCCCCGCAACTGGATTTATTACTACTACTACTATGATAGGGGAAATATCACGTAACTGCTTAAAAAATGATCTACATCAAGACAGATGTTTAGATATGACTAATATTTAAAAAAAAATTGATGATATATGTAATGTATTGCTAATTCATGTAGATGTAGCCCCAATTTCTGTATTTTCTACATGTTTATGTATCAACACCAGCAGATATGTACATGAAAAATATCATATGTCTGCTTTGGCCCTGAATTTCCATCAGTGCATTCCTAGTTCTGACATAATTTAATTATAAAATGAATTGATCAAGCTCCTTTTTAGACATACAGATTGATCAGTTAAAAAAGAAATCCTCAAATTTGTGCTTGTGTATTAACTCAAATGATTTGCAGCAGTGTTAGCATCAGGGTTCAGATCAGGTCAAAGTGAGTGTTGGATTTAGGTTATTGTTAGGCTGAATGGCTTGGGACAAGTTAGATGACAATACGTTTTTAGTTCATATTAAACTGTGGGGAACCCTCAGGAACTTCTAGGCCTTCAGATAAGGCCTAATGATTTGTGTGAAATAAAAGTAATAAATGTGTAATTTTTAGTTAATTTAGTTAATTTTAGTTAATTTTTAGTTTTGTTCAATATAATTATCGTTCTTGTTGCATCTAAACTCTGTAAGTATTGTAGTAATTCTCTTACTCTGTTGGTAAGTTTTGGTTGGACTCACAAGGATTAAACATCCAACAGAAAATGATCCAATCAGGCCTTTTTTGTGGCGTTTTGACAGCTTGAAGGCTCAGCTCTAATAGTCACAGTTCGCCACTGATATTAATACATATTAAGTTTGAATCTGTAATTTGGATCTGTGTGTAGTCCAGATGTGACTGATGCAGGATGTCTTGTTCTGACTTAAAGTAAGTTGTGGCCTGGGGTGTCCTCAAAACTCCACTTCCTTCCTTTGTTTCCTAATCCCTGCCACCTCTTGTTGCAATCCGTTTTCTCGCTGACCCTGTGGATGAGGTCTTAACCATTAACTTATATGATCCTGGCGACAGTGTCAGCGAGTGCTCGAGGACTGTGTGTGTGTGTGTGTTTATAGTGTAGTAGAAAGAGAGCCTAACATTTTAGTAGATGAATCTGGTTAGATGTGTTCATTTATTTGGAGCATTCATCAAATTATCCATGAGTGTGGGAAAATCCTCTGTGAGTGTTTTTCTGTGGGAGGAGAGAGAGAAAGAGTGTGTGGGTCAGTCAGATACTGATATAAGGGCTATTCTTAAACATGCACATGCAGACCTATATATGTTGGGGTCATCCAAATCAGTGACTTTTCACCTACAACACTAACAAACACTCAAACACACCTACATTCACATTAGGCCTGAAATGATTAGTGAATTAACTTAAATCTCTGCAAAAACTTATGACACCACTGTAAGTAGTACTCTGTCATTATATCTGATGCAAGTAATAGTTTAAAATGGATATTAGGAGCACTTTCAATCTTTTCAGTGCTACAGGCCCTTTGAAGAGATACTCCAGTGCTTTTTGTTTCAGCACCTGCCCACTGGCTTCTCTTAAAAGTGTGTTTTGAATCTGCAGATTTTCAGTTCTTTTTCTGAATACAGGGAAACACATCAAAATGATTGTCTGTGGTAATCTACCGTTGCTACATACGTGGCAGATCAAGATTAGGTTGGAAAGTGCTGGAGGATTCATTTATTATGGTTATAGTGTTTTGCCACCAGTTATAAGGCTGGTTGAGATGACTTATTTGGCATTTTTTTTGTTTATGGTCTTAAATAAAATTTTTAAATATGATCAGCTTTAAGTATTTCAGTTGTTTAGTCTATGTTAATGCTGTAGGCTGTGTTATTAGTGTATTTATTGCGTCAACTACCATGTCAAAATGAAAAAGGTTTTAAAAATAGTTCAGAGAATTCTGTAGCTTAATACAGTAATTATAGGAGTTTGAAATTAACAGTTGTGTGGTAATTAGCTTTATTTTATGCATAGTTTGATATAAAGAGCTGAGCAGCTCTTTGTGAAGTGCTTCATGCTCACTGACGTAATGAATGTGCTGTTAGAAAGCCCTACAATTAAAGTTCAAAAGCACTCAAAAATACAGCAGTAGTTTTGAAATAGTCTATGCTGTCCTTTCCATTCTAAAAATCATGTGTAGAATGTGTATATTTTTCTATATAAAAATGATTGTGCATTTACAAACTCAGATAGTGCCCTAAAGCTCCATAGGAACCTATGTGTTTGCCTGAAAGGCATTATTGAATGGCGGTTTTTCTTGCTTAAAATTCTCTGTCGCTACTGTTTTTGCTGCGTTGACCTCTGAAGGGGCAGCCCCTTATAGCATTGAACCTTCAGAATAAGGGAAACGCTAATTTGTGCTCAATGTCTAAGCACAAACCATTTACCATTTAGCTAGCTTTAGCTAACTAACAGCAACAGAGTGGAGGATTTTATTTTTTTTTGTGAGCCTTTTGGCTACAGCCACTTTGCAAGGCGATCCAAACTGCAAGTCTAGCGTGACTGTGGCTTTTGTTATACTAGTCTGTAATCTGTTCGGAGGGAAAAGGTTTGGGATGCTTTATATGAATGTGATGTCACTGAGTAATAATCTACTTGTGTTTACCCAGCATGCCGTTGGCACGGAGTTTCTCAGTCACCTCCTTGTCGGGACTGGATGAGTGGGACGAGGAGTTTGATTTGGATGATGCAGTTCTGTTCGAGATCGCATGGGAGGTGGCTAATAAAGGTATGAGTGTCTTTTGTCCAGCTGTCTAACATTTATTAATCTCAGTTTAAAATCAATTACGTCACTGTATCTTTATCTGATCAAGTTTGGAGGGAGCTGTATAATATTTAAGTTAGAGATCAGTTTGAAATGAAATGAAAACCTTTTAAAATGTGCTTCACTGTGGTGATATTCTAATAATATGCAGTGGTGATATCTGACAATTCTGATATGTCACATAATATTGGTTGAGCTTCCTTCTAAAGAAATGCTGCCCTCTGGTTGCCAATATTTTACTGAAGCAAAATGCTTGTGTAAAGCACATGTTCCTGACTTCCGTTGTAGCAGTGAGCTTGTGGTTTTGTGGTTTTCCTTTTCCTTTTTTTCCCTAAGCCTGTCAGATCACTGTCATTCTGTTCACAATTGCCCAAGACGCCCAATGATTGCTTTATACATAAATAATTGTTACTGTTGCAGCAAAATTTCATATCCCCACAATGGTAACTTTACAAGAGAAAGTTCTTAACTTTTAATTATGTAAATAGAACAAGTTTTTATCAAAAGTAATTTTGGGCTGCATCTCGAATGGCTCCCTGCTCCCGAATAATTATTGGCTCATGCTCCCAAACAGGGCATAATATGTCTAACAAAGAGTCTTTTGGGATTTAGCCATGTATGCACAATTCCATACTGAACATATAGTGGAATATATGGGCCAAAATTTCATAACTTACGTAGTGCACCACATAGGGACAAACATTTGAGATTCAGCCTCGGACCATTTATACCTGTTTACCAGTCAAGTTTACGCAAGGAAAATGGCTCCTGGCACTTTCAAAAAGAAAAAAAAGAAAAAGGTTTTGTCCCAACAGTAATGATATGTATTGATTGACAGATATACACAGTACTGTGCAAAGGTTTTAGTCATCTGTGAAAGTTTAAAAAATGTTTAAAAAGCTTTTTATCTGTGCAGTAAGAGTTTGTTTGTTCAGTAAATCAGTATTATAATAAATATGAATCAATTGTAACAAATACCAAAAATGATTTTAAGTGTGTCAATTAACCATTTCACAACTTCTCTTCGTGGCAGCCCAGTATTAAATGTACTTATAATCCAACACCTGTTTTGGCCTAATCAGTGCTTTATTAAATAAAAACAGGTGTGCTGATTGTGCTTTAGAATAAATCTGTTTAATTGCTGGGGGAAACGAGGAGAAGCCCAGAATCAAACCATTGTACTTCTAATTAGCTCAGAAGATACACAAGATATAATCTACTTTTTTTAATAATCATTTTTTGTTAATTTTGGCTGGATATATGTTTTTATTTAACTTATTCTAGTGCTATGTAGTGTTTTTACTGACAAAAACACATTTTTAGACTATATCCTTAGGTGCTCTTTGCACAGTGCTGTATGTGTAATTGAGTAATGGTATGGCTGACCTTGATCTTTACATGCTTATCTGACCCTTTGGGTATTTGCTTGTTCCCCCCTATGGTTCTTGCAGTGTATTGGAAACTAATTCCCAGTGCGGTTGGTCTTTCCGCTGTCACACGACTGTCACCAGTCTGGAAAGCCAAAGGCCAGCACACACTCCCTTCCCAGTACATGAAGCCTGTGACTGCACATTTGCAAGCTAGAACTATAGCACTGAACTGGATTTAGCCTGCATGGCACAACGTTACACTTATAAACTGCAGAATTGCATCAGCCAACTATTAATAATCAGTTAAATATTAATAATGTTATGACTCTTTGTAAAGCATCTGAGTGTAACGTGTCCATGAGCATGGGAAAGGCACTATATAAATAAAAGTGCTGATGGTGATAAAGATATCAGTTATATCATCATTTGTTCTACAAGCATAACTCATATATTGCTAAACTAATTCTTAGAATTTGTGTCTTAGAAACTGTCTCTTAACGTGCTGTCATGCCTGAGGTTTGAAAAAACGTACCTTTACCATCAAAAGTGGAGCAGATCTGAACTTCACACCACCTAGACTGCTCACTTTGCGTTGCCAATGATCTTACCACAGTTTTGCTGGCTCTCATTCAAAATTGATGACTTCCGGCTGCCTTGTTGGTTTTGTTGCTAGCGTTGCACACACAGGGTGAGACTAGCTTTGCTTCTTTTTTAACAGTACATGTCAGAAGAGATATGTTGTTTGTTATTTACGCAGCAAATGTAGCTCTTTACTAGAGTAGCAGTGCTAAACTATGTAACTTGCAAGAGTTATGCAGTTCCGGTGTAACCGCGCCACCCATGAAACAGTGCCAAAATCTCTAGAAGTTGTTAAACAGTCCAGTATCTCTAAAAGTACACCACAAAATGTCATGAGTTTTCTTGTTTTATTTGTCAGTGTTTATCTAGAGGGCTGGGAAAAGATGAAGACTATTAGTAGACTACCATCCAAAACTTTGGAATCTCTATCTGGCTATTAAAAAAATAAAAATATAATATTTGAATCAACATTTTTAGATGATTCCAAACTTTTGAACAGTAATGTAAGAGTCATATGATTAAGTAAAGGTTTGTTGCTCAATATTAGTGCTGTATAAGCGTCTAAATAGTGAGAAAGTTAATGTTGTACCGGCTAAATGACAGAGCGGTCAGAGGGATATTGTGATATGCCACATGAGTACAGCTTAGTGTCTCAGATCAGATGAACTCAGACTCAGTGACCTTCCCATCTTTCATAGAAGTCAGTCAGCCATTGCATCAGAGAGACTGTGCTAGTGGATTTCACACAAACCTTTTTCAATCAGATGTTTAACGTGTGTGTGTGTGTGTGTGTGTTACAGTACACAATTTTCGTGACACAGTATGTGTTGTGCTTTTTGGCACGATGATGTGATGTTTTTTCAATTTATAGGTGAAATAGAGTCACTTTGCTCATGTATGTTAATATCAAATTGCCAAAACAAGACCAGAGCACCTAGTAAAAGCATAATTTACACAAACAAGTATATTTAAATGCTCCACAAATTGTACTCTATTGCTTTTTCAGTTTGTCATTATGTCTGATATGAAATGGATATTATGTAAGATGACACTCATAGTCTTTGTGCTTTGGCAGTTGGAGGGATCTATACAGTGATTCAGACGAAGGCCCGTTTGACCTGTGAGGAATGGGGAGAGAACTACTTCCTAGTGGGGCCATACGTGGAGTCCAATGTCAGGACACAGGTTGAGCTTATTGAGCCCACCAATGCAGTGCTCAGGAGGACCATTGACAAAATGAACAGCAGTGGCTGCAAGGTACACAAAGCTCAGCTTGTGCCTTGTTTTCTAGTTTTCAGTTGCTCATCCTGACTATCTCTTTACATAATTTCTGCCTCTCCCACACACTCAGTTTGTATTTTGCCCTCAGCCTCAGTGAAACCCTAAACCTTCATTCTGAAGAGTGTGTGCGCCCTCTCCCTGGTATGCTTGTGCAAAGGTTAAAAGCTATATCTATGTCTCGAACACAGACCACAGCCTATTTCAGTTCTTTCACTGAATTCTCCCGAGAGGGGGAATGTGTGTATGCGTCCTCACACAAACGTTGGTGTTATGTCAGTGAAATATTGACTCAGGTAGAAGTAACTTGAGTAAAAAAAAAAAGAAAAATAAAAAAAAACATCCAAAAACTGAAGTTCTCTGTTGAACTGCAGTGGAACTTTATCTTACATTCAGCGTCTATCAGCATAAAAACTAAAAGCATGTTAGGCACTGTTCTTCTCTTTTTGGGGTCTTTCTGGTCTATAAATAAAACAAAATGTTAAAGATCCATGCAAATAATGACTATACCAATATTTTTGATGAATTATGCTTCAGTATAAATATGAACTGTGATGCTTTAAGTAATTATTAATTTTGAACTGTTACTGGTGACACTTTTATCTGGTCATCTGCTGATGCTAGTATTATCATGCTGCCCTAGCAGTTAAATGGGCCTACATTATGGAAAAAAATTTCAAAGTAAGAGTTTGACTTAGAATGCAAACATTGTTAAAAGTTTCAAAACTCGAGATGCAACAGTATAGCATATTGTCGCTGTCCAAATAAAAGCAAGTATCTCCCAAATTGTAACTTTACAGGAGGAGGCAAAAACGGTCTTTTAATGTAAGTTGATGTAAAGTGGAGTTTACTTTTTATTCCAACGGATTTTGGTCCATTTCTATTGGTCCATTCATCGTGAAATTTTCATACAATGAAAAGAGCAGCTGCCATGTTCAAATGATGTAAAAAAACAATAAAAAATGTGGATTTTGTGAATTGTTACACCATTATTCAAAATGTACACTCCCCAGTTCAGATGGTCCATACATAGAAATTAAGCCACAAAACAGCCTGTTTATTGTTTTTCTGGTGTCATAACAACCAACAAATTTACATATATCTGCCTGGTCAGCCTACAACAGCTTAGCCCCGCCTATTCACAGTGATGTTATAGAGAGTGTTTTAGCCTGGATTGCTTATTTAAACAAGGCACACAATGTAGGACACCAGTCAGAACACCCTGTCATTTGCATATATACAATAACAAACAGCCTGTTTAATTCTAAGATAAAGAGAGGTTGTAAAATGGTCATGAATATTTTTTGTACATAGACCCACATAAACATCGTAATTGTACATAAAAAAAAAACAGTAAAATACAGGATGTGTAACATGAGCTCCTTAAGTTAGTGTTTTTGTGTTCAGTGCTTAGTGCAGTTAAAGATCCACCAATGTAAGTAGCAGCATTACACCGTACACTAAATATTTTATTTCATTTTTAAGGTTAAAGTGTGAGCTATAACAATACTGAGCTACAATAATGCATGGTGCAGTAGAAACACTCTATAAAGACAGTAATGTATTTCGGTGCGTGTGTAGGTGTATTTTGGTCGCTGGCTGATTGAGGGCTCTCCATATGTGATCCTGCTGGACGTGGGCTTCACGGCCTGGTCTCTGGACCGCTGGAAGAGTGAGCTGTGGGAGAACTGTTCTATAGGAGTGCCCTGGTTTGATCGGGAGGCCAACGATGCCGTCCTCTTCGGCTTTCTCACTGCCTGGCTGCTCGGAGAGGTATGTGTATGTAATTGTCTGGCTGTACTGGCTGTTTATTTGACCAAGTCATTTTGTGAATTAATGGTGTTTATGTGCCCCTGTGCTGTTTTTCAGTATGCAGCGCAGAGTGAAGACCCTCCGCACATCCTGGCTCATTTTCATGAGTGGTTGGCTGGTCTGGGCCTGGTTTTATGTCGACAGCGGCAGTTACCTGTAGCAACCATTTTCACCACACACGCCACGCTGCTCGGTCGATACCTGTGTGCTGGGAATGTCGACTTTTACAACAACCTTGCAGAGGTGTGTGCTTGTGTGTAGAAGGACAGTTTCACAAAAAAGTAATGTAACAACCAATATATGATATGTTACTATACGTCTCTGTCTGTCTCTATCTGTCTGTAGTTTAATGTAGATAAGGAGGCGGGAGATAGGCAGATCTATCATCGCTACTGTTTGGAGCGGGCTGCAGCACGCTGTGCTCATGTTTTCACCACTGTGTCTCAAATCACGGCCATTGAGGCTGAGCATCTGCTCAAAAGGAAACCAGGTGGCTTTCTAAACACCACCGTCACACCCCCATCCACACACCCACAGTTTTACCTACTGTGCCTAAATCACATCTAAATCACTCAATATAAGTAAAGCATGTTTGAGGTATCTAACTAAAATGATGTCATTGTGTTCCTCTATCTGGTATTTACCTCAAAGGCTTGAACAAAAACTACTTCAATACACTAGGTGGCAATATATGCCTTTTACTTATCAGACTAGCGGACGTCTAGAGAAAGGGAAGTCTAGCCATTCTCTCCCTACAGCACAGTCCAGCTGTTAGCATGGTTAGCCAGGTAGCTGGTGTAAATAAATTATCATTGTATGTAACTTTTTTTCCATTTACAACTAGCCATTTTTGTATGCTACCTAGCTATTTTATAAGCCTTTTGTTTTGTTCAGGGTTTAACATACTACTCAGACTTCAAAATTCAATAGTAGAAAATACATATTATAATTATCAATAATTACTATTATGGATACTTTTTTATTTTTGGACATATCGCCACTCTTCTAGTGAGGCCACAGGAATCTATAATAGCAGTCATTTTCATCACTTGCAGTCATCAGGGTCATCTACTCAGGGAAGGGGTCCAAAACACAACCAACATTACAAAATGTTCTTCTGCATATTGTATAGAGTTTCACATTTCAGATCCTCAAATCTTACATATTGTAAATTTAAAGAGTTCTCTGACGCTGCAATCTGTTTCTCACAGATGTCGTGACCCCAAACGGTTTAAATGTGAAAAAGTTCTCAGCCATGCACGAGTTCCAGAACCTCCACGCTCAGAGCAAGGCTCGCATTCAAGAGTTCATCAGAGGCCACTTCTACGGGTCAGTGCACTATTTAAACTCTCGCACCACATCAATACAAACATACGCTATCATGCTCCTCCTTTTAAAATCATGTTATTCTTTCACAGACATTTAGATTTTAATCTGGATAAGACTGTTTTCCTGTTCATTGCTGGACGCTACGAGTTCTCAAATAAGGGAGCCGATCTTTTCCTTGAGGCACTGGCCAGACTCAACTACCTCTTGAGGGTATGTGTTTGTGTGTGCACCTGAATCTCTTTGATACTACGCTAAAGTGTGCTTACTGAAATGAATAAAAAGTGAATCATGAAGTGTTTTCAGAAAGCCCTAAAATCTCTGCTTTGCTTCACTGTGTGTGTGTGTGTGTGTGTGTGTGTGTCCTCAGGTAAACCACAGCGAGGTTACGGTGATAGCGTTCTTCATCATGCCTGCTCGCACCAACAACTTCAATGTGGAGACACTGAAGGGCCAAGCCGTACGGAAACAGCTCTGGTAACCATGACAAGGCACTGTGAGGACTGCTAACCTCCACTTAGCACACAATATACCTGACTAGCTCAGTTACCCCTGAAGGCTGTGCTGTTTGTAATGAAAAAACAGTTTATAATGAAGAAGTAGGACCTTTTTTCTGGGGGCTCCTGCTTTTAGTGTGTTAGTTAAATAGCAAAGTCCATCATGCTTCTTACATGCTGTTACATTTACATAGTTAACAGTCACTCCTATTTTGTTTTGTCTCTCACTGATTTCTATGGAGACACGTGGTGCAGTTCTAAACTTCAGATATTTTGGTTTGTTCAGCTGTGGTGCGTTGCGTTTTGTCGTGTCACGCAAATCAAAAAAAATTATCACATTGCTTGAATTTTTAAAAACAGTACTAGGCCTGTTTTCACCTGTGTTTCATCAAAGCACACAGCTATCCCCCAACTGTGCATTCACATGTAGTCTGGACAGCTTAACATGCATGCATTTTAGTGACACACCCAAAGCAGCCAGTGGTTGTTAAGGGAAGTGATTTGCTTTGCTGTAATGTAGATGCAGCGTTAGGACTCCTGACTAGGGAGGTAATCCTCACATAGGAGCTAATATGGGAAGCTGGCAAATAGTAAAAGAGACATCTCTATAGCTGCTGGCAGTGTGTTGGTACAGTCTATACTGATGTCCTTTTTGTTGTTACCAGGGATACAGCCCAGACTGTGAAAGAGCGCTTTGGGAAGAAGCTCTATGAATCATTATTAGTGTAAGTGGCTTTCCTTTAAACTACTTTTGAATCTGCCTCTTTAATCATGGGCAAAAGCTAGTTTCACTCTCTATCACTCTCTCTCAGTGGGCAGTTGCCAGAAGTGTCTAAAATGTTGGATAAGGAAGATTTCACCATGATGAAAAGGGCCATCTTTGCCACACAGCGCCAGTGCCTGCCACCCGTCTGCACCCACAACATGCTGGAGGACAGCACTGATCCCATCCTCACCTGCATCCGTCGCATCGGCCTCTTCAACAGCTCTCAGGACCGGGTCAAGGTAAACACACTTGGCTATATGACCAAAAATCTTATCACAGTATATTTTTTTCCATATAATTCAAAATCAATAATTATTAATGTATTTTATGCATATCATAATTCTCAATTTTAAGCCTGAAGAAAACCAAAGGCTTATTTTGGTGTAATGTACATAGTTATCAAGACAAAACGTAAGTAAGTTTAAGTATTTTTACTCTCCAGAATTTCAACACTTTCAACAAGCCAATTGTCTCTCCTAGCTGTCACACTGGTTCGTGTTGTTGTGAGTGAATGGCTGGACAATTTCTCAAGTTCCATGTAGGCAGTAAATGGCATACATCACCATCTAGTGTTCAAGTTCAAATCTTTGGAGCTAATAATTGATTGATAGTGCATATCACTGATTTGAAATAAAATTTGATTTCAATAACTGTCATTTTACCCCACAAGTCTACACATACACTAACCTGATCACCTCTGTTCAAATACATGCCTAAACACACATTTGTGTACAAGGTCAGATATGGAACTAGGGATTGACATTTGATTGTTCATCTTAATTTATTGACTCATCAGTTAATCAATCAAATCGATTAATCAGTTTAATGTGGCCTATAAATGTGATGAGCTGTAACAATAAAATGTTTGCAATGTTCTGACAAACTAAGACACTGTTTCACCAAGAACTAAATTACCACCATGGAAAAAAGACATGTAGCATTTTGTTTAAGGCTGTCCATCATTTTGAGCAAGCAGTAGCTAAGAATAAGTGATATAATAATGAATATGTATATAAATATTATAGCCCTTCAGGCTGCAGCAGAATTTACCAGTTGAATTACTGCCCCCTTGAGGTTCAGTGATTAACTCACTCTATGTTGGATGTCATTTTGAAAATGTAAACAAAAAAATTATGAAAATATTATCTATGTCGAGTAATTGTTTCGGCTCTATATGGAAGGTGCATTCCCTCTCTGCCTTTGTGCCAGGTGGTTTTCCATCCAGAGTTTTTGTCCTCTACCTCTCCACTTCTGCCCATGGACTATGAGGAGTTTGTTAGGGGCTGCCACCTTGGGGTCTTCCCCTCTTACTATGAGCCCTGGGGATACACACCTGGTTGGTGAAAAACACACACATTGACTCTTTGAGAAAGAAAATGAGGTTTAATGAGTATTTATTATTTTTTTTTAAACGAGTTTCACTTAAAAGAACATTTATATTTGGCTGTATTATGTAAAAACACATTGCATGATAACAGTAAGCTGTATGCTTGATACTCTGAGAACGTAAAAGACAATAGATGTTTCATAATCACATAAAAAGATATAAGAAACCTTCGAAATGAAAGGCAAACAGAAAACTTTGATATATTGTGTATTTTTTGTTTTGTTTTTTCTTTTTCCTCTGTCTTAGCCGAGTGCACTGTGATGGGAATTCCATCAGTCTCCACTAACCTCTCTGGATTTGGTTGTTTCATGGAGGAACACATAGCAGACCCATCTGCCTACGGTAATAAGCAGACTGACAAGACAAACCATAAAAATTGGAGTTTTTTAAATATTTTGTCTGGCTCAATTTGAAACTTTTTTTATGCACATCTAATATCTACATCTCTCTTTTCTCTCACACAGGAATCTATATACTGGACCGGCGGTATCGAAGTGTGGACGAGTCATGTAACCAGCTGACCTCTTTCCTCTTCCAGTTCTGTCAGCAGAGCCGCAGACAACGCATTATTCAGAGGAACCGCACAGAGCGCCTCAGTGACTTGCTGGACTGGAGATACCTGGGCCGGGTCAGACAAGCACACACACACACACACACACTCCATCATTCATTCAAAACCACACAGACCACCTCAGTGACCTGCTGGACTGGAAATATCTGGCACATACACATATTTTACAAAACTAGTCAAACTCACCTAAATAGATGCTGAAACTAAGCCTAAAGGGCCCATATCATGAAAAACCAAAATTTTCTTGCTGTGATGAAATTAAAGTATGTAAACTCTGTTAAAGGTTCAAAATATACTGTTCACTCTCCGTTCCATACGGTCTGTATGTGAACAAATAAGCAGTAGCAACAGCCTGTTCTGAATGCATTGTTTTTGTGACATCACAAAGACCAGCACACTTATAAATATTCTCTTAGTACACCTACAGCAGTTTAGCCCTGGCCATTCCCGCTGCAGTTATAAGGTTTTTTAAATGAGAGACAATGCAGAGCAGCCAGCCAGAACAAAGCTCATTCAAATATATCAGTCTTAAAAGCACAGCAAATAAAAACAGTCTAATTCATTCTAGGAGATAAATAGAGGTTGGATAATTCTCTGAAAAAATTAATTACGACATAAGTGGACCTCACGGGGAAAAAATAAAATACAAACATGTAGAATATGGGCCCTTTAAGTTTTTGTTTTCCCTTTAAGAACTTTTTTCCCTATCCACTAGAGCCAGATGGTTTTAGTGACTTATCTGTTTTTCTTTGTCTCAGTACTATGTATCTGCTCGCCATATGGCCCTGGCGAAAGCCTTCCCTGATGCATATGTCTATGAGCCCCATGATCCCACCTCGGTAAGCTTTTATATTATATCTGTGCCAATATGAGTGAGTCAGAGTGGATTTTAGAGACTTTTTCTAAAGCACTTCATTGTAAATTCAGAAACTTCCTGGTATTGTGTATGTCTAAAACTATCCAGATACCTGATCATTTAGAATTTCTTCCAAAATCAGTGGTATTAACAGGGAGTTTGTCCCAGCCTTCACTGCAATAACAGCTTCTGTTCTTCTGGGAAAGCTTTCCATTAGATTTGGGAACATTACTGTAAGGATTTGGTTCCATTCCTTTTGGTTCCGTGTTGCAAGTTGGATTGGAGCACAAATGTAGACCATCTGAGGGGCCCTGAGAACCGGTTTGAGATCCACTGCTCTTCACAGTCCAGTGCTTGAGAGTTTTACACCAGTGTGGCCAATGCTTGAATTATGTAGATTAGTTTTAATGGTTAATATGTAAAAGTAGTTTTCATATGAAGTTGCTATAGGATACTTTGACTTCTGTGAATTGTTGTAACTGCTATGAGGGCTAAATGACCAACGCCTGCAGGATGTATTGTGATCGTATTATGATTGGACAACACAAATTGCATTCACAAGTGGTCAGAGACAAGTCTTGACCACATTTAACACAAGTGTTAACACAATGCGTTTTTGTTATCCATATACAATTATGTGAGGGGAAATGTGTCTGCTGAGGGCTTACTAGCAAGTGAGAGAACAGTAAAATCACCTAAATTTTCTCCTAGGAATGATGCCATGGGACCCACAGGAGAATGGTTTGAACTTGTCACTGCTAATTTTCTCACTGCTCATTGAGTTTTCATGTCTGAAAAGGGTGTCTTAATACTTTTGGACATACAGTGTAGCTTTTATGAAATGTTTCCTGATAACCCCTAATTTCACAGGCTTTTTGTGAAACAATGTTTTTCCATTCATCATTTGGAGAGTCTAATTTTGATGTTTGTTTGTTTCACCCCTTTTAGACCACAGGCTTCCGTTACCCACGGCCTGCCTCAGTGCCGCCCTCCCCTGCCCACTCACTCCACTCCTCCCCTCATCACAGTGAGGCTGAGGATGAGGACGAAAGATATGATGAAGAGCTGGAAGCTGAGAAAGACCGCGTGAACATCCGCCAGCCTTATGGTGCATCCCCCAAGAACAAGAGCCTGCCAGCCGAACCAGCTGAACCAGCTGACTCAGTTGAATTGCCTGAGAAAAACTGACACTACACACATGCACTTGCTCATGCACATGCTTTACCTCCTTTTGCAACATTTCTACATGCACACACACACTGCTAACACACTCCTGACCTTTTCCCTACCTGTTGGTCCTGCATTTACTGGGATTGAGGAGTAAACAGAGATATTTATGTGAGAAAGTTATATGATGTAGAATTCTTATTACTGTGAGGAGCTACTGTATTTTATCATTAAGACAGATCTATTGATGTCTTCCGCGTGTGTTAGTAGACTGAGAGACTGTACTAGAAAGACATTTAAATCTGAACATGTTCATTCACTCAAACTGTGAAAGGCCGCTCCAGTATGAAGTAAAACAGAGCCTGCGTTAACGGCAGCTAGTTGAATCTCACGGATCAAATTATTGAGGAAAATCAGCCAGAGATCTTTTTCTTCGTCCACTTCAGTACTCCAGTACATTACTTCTAAAAGGTCAGTTAGAATAAAGCTTAAGAGTAATTTTTTTCTACCAAAAATGGGCTTATATCAAGACAAGGTATTTTATTGCTAATTAGTATTGGAGTATACTGTGCAATATTGTTGCAACAATCTGATCTTTTTTACTCCTTGCATGTTCTTAAGCTTGTCCCAGTTTTATGGCGGTCAAGGCAAAATACCTGTTCTCTCAAAGAGTTTAGTACCTCAAGATAAACATCTTGATGACCGAATAAATCATTTCTCAAACGTCTGTCCTTGGAGTCTGTTTTCAGCATAGCACTTCCACAGTAGCACTTCCACAATCGCCTCGGACATGACCAGGTCCAAAATACAAAGAAAGGAATTCTTGCCTGTTTAGTGGTTTGAGGGTTAGAGAGCTTGAGCTAAAAAGAAGCTACTGCGGCTATAGTGAAATAGTAGAATGTGCAAGAGCAATTTATGAACTGTAATGTCCACACATACAATTTGAGTTTATTTGTGTCACAGCTGTGGAACAGAAATTAAAGACTATATTATTGTTACCAATGACTTGTCTTCATTTTCTAAATTCATTAACGTTTCCCATTTTGATCTCGCGGTATCATCTTAGGAACAGCTTCTGTGCACAGACAGAGGCAAGGCAAGTTTTTTTTATATAGCAGGTTTCACACTGCGGTCATTCAAAGTGCTTTACAAATGAGAAGGATAATTCAAATTAGAATTCAAAAGGAAGAGGTGTGTTGGTGTGGATGGTTTTTCAGCACAGATACACTCTCCCTCCATGACCTTTGCAGACTGAAAGACAATACGTTAGATGTTAGAAACATACCCAGTTTCTACAGGTTATTAATGGGTTATTAAGATGATAATTTGGTTCACGCAGTCATACCCAATAAGCTGCTCCAGAATGAGTTGTAGGTGGCGCTGCCAGTAACAGCTCCTAGCTTGGCTGGGTTGCGTCTCACTGTTTTCACTGAGAAGCCTTCAGGGCCTGTCACCTCAACCTCCACTAGGTGGTAATCAGCTAGACTGGAAGTGAAAAAGAATGCTACTTCAGGCCTTTTGCTGGTGATGCATCGTTTAGCGTTTGAATAATGTGTTTGAATTGTGGGAAAAGTGTGGCTGTGTCAAATTTAAGCCCAGCCTCAAATGGTGCCCTAAGCCCTGCATTCCTTCTCACGCTTTGGTGATGTCAACAATATGCAGACCTATAGAACAAGAAACCTTGAGGTGCTTGGTTCAAACATGCGCAGGTTCTGCATGTATTTGCATGTATTTTTTGTATAAAGTGGCTAAATTTAGATTACAACCATAATGTAGATCAGCGGCCAGTTAAATTAATGAATGCATTTTAATTCACATCTGAATATCTTCTCCCCTGTCATGTTGGCCAGAAACAGTTGTAAAGAAAACCATTCACTCGGATTAATCCTCACCTATATCTTGAAGGGGAATTTTTCAAAATTTCTGCCTAATTCAGTCACTAAAATGCAAACGAGGTCATACAGAGTGGTTTGCTGTAAAATGCTCCATTTAAGAGAAACTTGCAGACGCTGATTTCTTTATAATGTGTTGATAGGAACCAGGTGTCACAATGTCTGCAGTGCAAATATCCATTGCATTTGCTATCCAAAATGACCATTGCACCTACACGTGTCTACTGAGTTTTTATATGTAATGTTGGTAATGGTCATATAATGGTTGAACCAAAAAAAAAAGTAGTTGTCTTTGGGCGCTTTACAACGCCCAACATGAACCTTTCCACCACGACTTTAAGAAAGTATGTTTTAGGCCAAAGGCCTATTACAAATGTCATCAACAATGTCTCAGCCATCATACAATATATCAGTAACCATTTCGGTTAATAACTTTTTGTGAGGGAAGTTTCAAAGGTATTAAACTTTTAAGACGTGTGGTTCCTATCACCACCACTGTGAACCGTTCTGAATTCTGGTTAAATTTCTCTAGAATGGAGCATTTCACATCAAACCACTCTGAACGACTTTCGTTTCAGTGGTTTAATTATGCAGAAATTTAGAAAATCAGAGAAAGGGGACACCCTATAGCATTGCTATGCTTGCATGCACATGCCTTTTTTTGCAACTTCTGTTTATTGGCAAGAACAAAAACACATCAAACAAGAAATAAAATGAATTAAAAATGTTGCGTTTAGAAATGCTTTATTTGTGTTCACACTGAAGCCTAGCATAATCTTCAGTGTCTAGTATTAGTACGCCAGGACTGGACTTGCGTGACATGCCAGGGAATGTTCCCAACACTCAAGCTGACTTACTACTACTACACAATTCAATGATCCAGGACAGGGACGGTGGGCAAATTTTTGGGCCTTATGAAAATATCGCCTCTATGTACCCCCGCACTTTTCAAATTTAAAATAGCACACCAAACAAAAATCCCTCCTCAACCGAGGGGCCCTAAATAATCAGTTCCACTATTCCCCCAGCTGTGGCCCCCCTGACCTAAGGGTATTCCACAAAGCAGGATTCCTCAGTTAGCCAGGTAGCTTAAGGCCAAAGTAAAACCCTTCCTATTGGACACTCCTCACTTTCAGCTTAACTTATTCAGCTTACTGAGAGATCCTACTTTGTGAAACACTCCTCTGCAGGACTGAAAAGTTTCGCAGACCTAATGCTTAAGTCAGGGGTATCCAATCTTATCCACAAAGGGCCAGTATGAGTGCAGGTTTTCACTCCAAACAAGAAGAGCACACCTGATTCCACTTGTTTAATCAGTCTCAGTCTTTAAACAAATGATCATGTTGCTCTGCTTTGTTGCAGCCACACCGATCCTTTTGCAGATAAGACTGGACACCCCTGGCTCAAGTCTTCCAAAACATTTAGTAGGGGGCAGGCAGAGATGAGTAGGGGGATGGGGGTGTAGGGAGAGGCCTCATACAACCTGAACAGTGGTTAGACATTTTGCTAAGCAACTCACGCAGTATCAGACACAATCTCTCCAGTGACTCCATGGAAGCCCAGGGTTGATGCGGCAATGGCGGCGGCTGCCATAGTGTTCACGTTGTTAGGGGCGATGGGGCAGAGCTCTGCCACTGAGCCATGAAACAAAACACGCCTCCCCTCCTCTTCTGCCCAGTCAGAGAGCATGCCTCCAGCCAGGCGGAAACAGGAGGGGTGCTTTGACATACGAATGGAGAGGGCCTGGAACAGAGCCAAATTAAACGTCAGACACTTTCCCAGACAAACTGTGCAAGTGCTCAATGCCTTGGTCACCAATCATTGAGCAGTCTATGTTTAGGTTCTCTAGAAACTAAGGGTGTAACATTTTCTATATAATATCAAAAAAGTAACAAAGAAACTGTATGGATAATTTGAAACCATCACCAGTACAGTCATACATACATACATGACTGTACCGTGACCATAGCTGGACTAAGCAGTTAACGATGATGATGATGATGACCAGTACAGTCTCTTCTGAGGGTCTCTCATTGGCTATCTTTCTTTGGAATCTCATCAGTGATCAACTAGCCATCTGGGTGCATCACTTTAGAGTAAAGTGGGTTGGGGGGCTTATGCTGTACACACACATATGCTCAAATGAATGGGCTTTTTGGAGGCGGGTGGGAGGGGTTGGCGCTTAAGTCCTACAGCCAGGAGCTTTCTATGTAATCACTGAATAATAAGGCTTAAAGGGGTGGTTCAGGTTGCATTTTTACTGCAGGCTGAAAAATGTTCACAAAAATGTTTTTGAAACATTGCATCACTGCTGTGTATCTCCCTGTTGCTAAGCTACAATAGCAGTGTAACTGTCAATCAGCTGTGCCAGCTTGTTACCTTTTCAGTATACAGGCAAAAAGCTCAGGCACTTGTACTTTTAGACAGTGAGCTACTATTATTTTAATTCATTTATTTTTAAACAGCTGCTTTTTGTTTGTTATAAAAATGTCTGTCCATGCAATCATACAGCACTCAGCAACTGCAACCATAAATCCCTCCTCCATTACAATGGTCATAGCAGATCCGTCTGATCTGATTGGTTAGCAACTTGAAGGGAATTTGATTATTTCAGGTTGACCTTTTCTGAACTCAGGGCGTGCATTCTGCAGAAAAGGAAGCCATGTAGAGTGCAAAGAATGTGAGATGCACAGCGAGCCAAATGCATCCCTTTCATTTAAAACAACTGCAAAAAACACATACAATGTGGACCTCCTTTAAGCCTGGGACTAGAATGGGGTTCATTTAGTAGAAAGCTGGCCAATCTAAAACCTAAAATATCAAAAATCTAATCAAATGTTGACCTCAGAAATCATACTAAGCCTAAAACAATAGAATATCATTACAACTCCAGTAGAACCAGTCACAAACAACCCCATTGCTACAAGACTTGAACTGCTGAACACAGTTTAATAATATATAATGCTGTATAATACTTTCATATAAATTACACAGTTGTAAAGCTAGGTTTGGCATTATTTCAGACAATGGCTTCAAGACTGCAATTGCTTAAAACAGGTAATAGTATTGTGTTCATAAAGTGTTGCATAATGTTTATTCTTAGTCTTTAAAGTAATGTTAAGGTATAATGTTGAATGGCCTTACTTTTAATGATCCACTGTCATTTAGTCTCTGGATGTCTTGGCCGCCCCATAAAGCACCGCTGGGCACATAGAGCGTCTTCCCATGTTTCTTTGCAGTCAGCCGGAGCTCCTGGTCCAGCTGAGAGTCTGACAGAGCAGAGGGACTGCCCACCTGTTGGTAAGAAAAAAACTGAGTGACTGTAATTGTAAGTTCATACTTCTCATCTCAGCCTTTTTAATAATCACACCAAGAACCAAACATCAAATAACAGTACCAGGAAGTTTGCGTGTGATAAGAATTGAACCCCAAAATCTTTCACTATCTGTGGATGACAGACCTCCACAATCAGGTCAGCATTTCTGGAACACACAAGAAAAAATGAAAAAAAATGTGATAAAAAATTATATATATGTATGAACATCTGTACATGTGTGAGTCTATGAGCATGCCTACGTTTGTGTAAAGTCAGAGAGGTCAGTCAGGATCAGATCCTTAGAGACTGACTCAATGAGTTTGTCTGCATTTCTATTCCAAACAAAGGCCAAGCTAAGGCCTGCTGCAAGCCCCTCTTTCTGTATGCGATCCACCAGGAACTGACCTATAAAGATGAATGGTGGTAAAATAATTTAACTATGCAAATACAGACTTCACAAAACTTTAAGTGCCTTAATATATGTCCATTTTATAAAATAAGTAAGACTGATATGTTATACAAATGTAAGTCGTCTGTTTCCACTGATTCTTTACAAATATTATATGTAAACATTATGCTGAGCAGTTTAAACCATTCATCTAAGCAATGAGAGTGTTTTTACTTGTAAAACACTATATGTATTTAGAATAAAGGCAAATAAACATAAATACAATAAAAAGTAACATGACTTTCTTGATATCTTGTGAGGGAGTTTGAAGAACAAAGTTTGGTTCAGGATTTCCCCTTAATGCCTTCAATGCATAGATTTGATAAATTTCATTATCAGCACACTTGATTTAACATAATGAACTGATTAACCAAACCATTAATGATAACTACAAATACTTCTGGGCTGCCAGTACAGAGGTTTGGGAATGGTAGAATGAACATACTGATACACATTAAATCAGTGTTTTTGTATTAATGTTGTTTTTGTAAGCAAATAAACACCTAATGTCCAGATAAATAGCTTGATTGGAATTTACTCAGAATTTTTCTCAATTGTTTGACTGATACTCAGTTCAATATTTTGGATTACTGACAACAGAAAATTCATATTTGATTGTTATGAAATTACAAAAATCACGTGTGATCAAAATAATCCAGATGTGTACTCTTATGTTCATCCAAAGTATAGCTACATCACATTTCACAATTTCAGACCAATCAGAATATACTCTGTGGTAATTTTCCTCATCATACTACATTTAGTTGTTGGACATGAATCAAACGGTCAAATCCATTGAGTTTGGTAATTGAATGAACTGCTTCAATTTTAGACCCCATGAGGTGGGAGAACTTACCTAAATGTCCATATCCCACAATGCCAACTCTTATGGGTGAGGCTATATCAGTCATGTCTGTACAGAATAAATAGAATAAATCAAAAACAACAAAGTTATTATACAATCATAGGCAAAGATTTTCTACGTTAAAAGAAGTGGTAACACCTTATTTGAAGGCTACTTACTTGAAGTACTACATAACACAGAATAACATATTTCTTAAGCAATATTGAAGTATTAATGATCAGCTTATGCGAGTAATCACAAGAGGATATAAGATGTTCTATGGAGTAAATAACATTGCATTGACATTAGGGACCTTAAATGACGGAAATTGGTTCCATGTATAACAATATTATGAAGCATCATTCCCAAGTAATAGAACTTAGAAGGAATATCTCTTTTAGATGTTTATATCTATCCCACATAGTTCTACATGAGTTAAAGTACAAAACTCTTATGTTAATACAATGTCATTTCCTTCAGCTGATGGTATCTTGCGATTACTGGCATAAGCTGTTCATGAAGGTATTGCTTTATAAATATGATATTCAGTGCTTGCATGTGTCATGACATCCTTAATCTAGGTAGCCTTCAAAGAAAGTTTTACCAAATAGGTTAACACATCCTCTACAGAGAACACATTTCTGCATATTTTATATGCAGAAATAAATAGAAATTGTGCACTAAAATTAGCAGACAAATGCCATATTTAGGTGTGCTCTCTGTAGAGGATATGTACACTTGCACCTAGGGGGTGCAAACTTTTGCGTAGGATTGTATGTGTCAGGCTAATATGCATGGAACTTCGAGCTAGTATTTGAATAATGTATTGATTAATTTAATAATTAATCATTTTTCACAAAGGCCAAACAATAAAAATGGACTTAACTGAATAATAACACTGTGTAGCTTTTCAAAGATTCTAAAATTAAAAAAAAACATAAACTAAGAAACTGAAATCAAATGGTAAATTTTTACATTGTTAGTTCATATCTCTGGTCATAATAAACATAATCTTTTCATTCAAAACATAAAATTCTTGTTTCACAGAAATTTTTCATTAAAATGTAATTTTCCACACCTTTAGAACTTCTTCTGATTTTTGATTACATCACCATGCATGAGTGGGTGGGGAAAATAATATTAACTAATAATCATGTGTTGCCTATGCATATAAATGAGTTGACTGATTCTTACAGTAAGTGAGAGCTATAGGAAAAATGTGCATCATCTTCCAACTAATCACTGCAGATTCTCTGAAAATGTCATTTTCAATTCCATTATTTTAATCAAGTAATCATGACAGCCTATAGGCTTTGCCATTAGTGACATCCTAAACAAAGATCCATGACACAGAAATAACACTGACCCCAACTCTCTTGAAAATCTGTGAACACTCAGTTTAATATCAACATTTTTCTAAAGATGAGGACTCCTCTTTCTCCTCCTACTTGTCATAGCTCCTCCTCTCTTCCTCCTTCTCCGTTATCTATCTCTCCTCCCCGTCCACTATCTATCTCTAAGGCCTCATTCACCTACTTCCAGCGCAATCTCCACAAGCCTTTCACAACCTTCACTTACCTGCCAGTTCCTCACCTTTTCTCTACTTCTCTCGCTCCCTCTGCTCTCTATTCCTCTCTTGCGAAGTTCTTCCACGCTCTCTGATCAAGAGCACTATGAGTATTGCAGGAGGATTATGGGAAAAGAAGGCTGAAGTTCATTGTAGAGCATGTGCGTTAATGATTACTCCTGTGGTGTTGACTCATACACGAGACAGCGTGTAATGCTAGACTGACAAACTGTTTCGCAAATTCTGGAGCATATTTATCTATATCTAAAGCATCACGAATCCAGAAAAATCCAAAGTCCAAACACACACATACAGCGGTATGCAAAAGTTTCAACACTCCTCATGAAACAACACATTTTTATGCACAACTACTGTTTATCTGCAGCATTTAACATATTAAAAATAAATAAAATATAAAAAATGAAACACATGGCCCGAAGTGTGTTCTTTGTAGAGGATGTGTTAACTTATTTTTACCTAGAAAATCAACAAAACATATAATTTGACCAGGAGTGTTCACACTTTTGCATACGACTATACATACTACACTATGTAGTATTCAAAGGTGGGTAGTAACTAGTTACATTTACTCAGTTGAACACACTTAAGTACAATTTTGACAAAGTATTTTTTAAAATACTTTACTCAACTACTTATCCTCTTTAATGGCCAGTTTTATTACACACTTCTATAACCTAAGAATAGCTCAGCAAATCCCAGTATTTACTGAATAATAACCCTTAGTATGTAATAAGCCTGGGATTTTAAGGGGTTAACTGAAGTAACAATTCTTTTACTTGAGTATGGGTTTACTCTACACAAAGTATAAGATATGTAGTGTCAGTGTTGAGCAGAATACTTTGAAAAAGTAGTGATGACTGAATACTGAATACACTGTCCTAAATGTATTCAGTAACATATTCCATTACAATACATAAAAAAGTAATGTATTCAGAATCCATTTAGAATACATTTGCTGTTGTACTTTATGCTTAATTCACACTGTTTCTTGCTGTTACTGGTGCCAGTTTTCTTCATGTTATTCTTCTGTTAATGTTGCATGACAAATTTACTTGTTTAATATTCTCAACATTATTTTGGCTCTCATCGCCTACTTTGGTTCACTCCTGCTCCCATAATCTCGCTGTTGTGAGCTATGTGATTTACAGTTAATAGGTATGCAACTTGGCATGAAAGGCACGCACAAATCCAGTCCAATAACAATGCTAAGCTTATTACTTGTGAAATTCTATCAGCTCTCAAAAAAAGTTCAGTAATGCTGAGATTAATAACTGATCATGACATTGGTTTATCAGTCTACTCAGGCTTTAGCAGGAACTTCAAACTCTGTGCACTCATAATAAAATAATTAACAAGCAAGCATTGATAGTGTTTCTTTTAAAGGTGGCATATATGGTTTACATATAGTGGGTGGGTATTCTAAAAGTATTCGCATAGAATGTGGAAAAAGTAACTGTACTTTGAATGCTGCCTTTACAAACTGTAATTAAGACTGAATACAGATACTTAACTCTGTAATCTGGATACGTATTCCCAATATTTGTATTCCGATACGCCCCAACCCTGTATAGTGTATATACTAACTTCATACTTTACTTGAACTACATAGTACAGATGTATGTAAAAGTTTGAACACCCTTGGTGAAATTGAATGTTTTGTTGATCTTCTAAGTGAAAATACATGTACACATTCTCCACAGAGAATAGTTTTTGGATAATTTCAGCAAATGATCAGTAATTGTGCATTAAAATCTACAGAACTCTGTAGTTCTCTGTAGCGTGTTAACTTACTGAAACTTTACTGGGGGTGCCAAAACTTTGGCACACAACTGTATGTATACTATACTACTAAACTTTTGACTTTTGTTCATCCTCGTTACCTGTGTTCCTCTCAAATACGTAAACTGCCTAGTATGTATACCATGCTTTGGCTTTTGAATTCATAACTGAACTACTTAGTATGTCTACTCTGCTTTGATTTCTGTTCAGTCTCATTACCCGTCTTCCTCTCACACTCTCTTAGGACATCAATGAACCATCTGTAAACAAGAGCAGTGACTTTATCTCCACTGACCTCAGTTCAATGCTTCAGCCAATCAGACCTCTCAGAGATAGGACCTGGCCTATAGGTGATTTCACAGGCTGACCACCCATCTTAAGCACAAGTTGAATATTTTATACCACATCATGACACAGGCTAATCAGATTGCACAACTTTGGCAAAGTCTTTGCATTCTGAAGTCAGATCTAAAATATGTCTGTCAAGAAGTTCCTCATTGCAGCAGTCAACCTGCTTATGGTTTCACAAACTGATGCTCTGTTTGCAAATGTAAAAATAGTATCTATGGTCCACAAAATGGCTACTTTCACTTCACACATGGTACCAGATCATCTCTATGGTGCCCTCATGAGGACCAGTGAAGTACTACTGCCCATGACTCATGTTAGATGTTATCATTTTCTCTCCCGTTCCACAGTCTATAGCTGCATAAGACCATATAAGATGTATTAAAGACTAAATGTAGCTTAAATTCTAGTATACAAATTCTTAGTCAAGTAAAAAAGAGCCTGTTGAATTTATAAAATACAACTGAGGGCCATTTGCTAAGTGACTTTATCTCTAAGTCATTATTAAGTCATGAAACCTTTGCTCATATTGACAATGTCAGAACAGGATTACACGTCCTAAATAATGGGGGAAGGCTGTACTGTGTTTATGACTGAACAATCTGACAGATAACGCATCACACATATTGGTCTAAAGTTCAACGTTAGCCTAGCCAGTGAGATACACAGTGCCTCTTATACTGACATTTGGAGGCACCGTAGGACCCTGTAGAAGACGTACCTTCCGTTTTCGCTTTTTGAGAGAGGGCAGAAAGATGGACATCCTTGACACAGATGCCTATGATCGCAAACAGCGCAGGAACACGGTAAAGACTGACAAAACACATTAACATACAGAGAAACACGCACTTTCCTCACTTACTCTTATATACATCCATAACATCCATTTGTTGGCACGGTGACATCTAATTTAGCACCTGTTTCTCCCACAAATACACCTTCTTATATGTTCTCTCTGAATGAGATCTGAATGAGTGTGTTATTCAGTTGCAATGCAGTGAAGTACCATCTTTATTTCTTTGCTATCATGCTCTGATATAAATATTGACCAAAACTCTTAATATTGACTAGTTCTGGAAACAGTGCATCACTGTACACTTCTTTTTTTTTCTCTATTTCATCTCTTCTCTTCCAGTCCTGTGTTCTGTTCTTTTCTCTGCTCCCTTTCTTTGCTTTCACAGCAGTGTTTTTCTACCTGTGGATCCCAGAATCAGCACCCTCTCTCCTGGCTGCTGGTGTAAAGTCCGCCCCTGTGCTCTCTTTGGCTCTTATGGTGCTGAGTTACAATGGGGGGAGGAGCCTGCTGGGTGTGGCCGGAGGGTTGCTGTTATCAGCTGGTGGAGACATCTGTCTCATTTGGCCCGGACTTTTTCTTCATGGTAAAGAAGCAAAGACTTAAATATAATGTCACTGACAGTGTTGGGGTTAATGCAGTACAATGTAAGGTTACAATATTGTGATTACTTTTTCCTGGAGAGAAGTAGTGTAAAGCCCTATGGGAGCTGGATTAGTTTTACCCAAGGAGGTACTGCAGTTTTGATTGATTAGTGAGGACATCCCTGGTTTTAATCCAGTATCAATCCAGAGTTTTTACAAGTTTGCTACCTTCTATAATCCGCTGGACCTGGAGCTCCCTTGATAATAGTAGTCCTGTTGAACTGACATTACCATAATGTAATAACAAAACCAGGGGACAGAAAACAGACACTCATTCTTTTATGCAACCTGTAGACAAAGGTAACCGCTAAAATTAAGCTCAATTTGACAGTTTTGTAGTTATTAAGTTCACGACAACAAGTGACACCACACACTGCAAGGCAATTTAGCTGCACATGCTGTGCATTATTCACTGCAGAAAATGGTATCTTGTCAAAGTGAAATGATCTTAAATCTAGTCACTGTATCTAATATTTCCCACTTTGAGAGAGTTGTGCACTGATTATAAGATTATCTATCTTATTTCCAGACATTTTCCCTTGTTTTCAGTAATTTTATTGAGTAAAATTATCTCACTATACTGGCAGATATTTTTGCTGGTTTCCAGCACATTTCTTAACACAAGCAAAGTTATCTGCCAATATAGTGAGATAATTTTGTTTAATAAAATTACTTAAAACAAGTAAAATTGTTTAGAAATAAGATAAATGATCTTAAATGAAGCTTACAAAAATCTCAACAGGAGAAATATTCAATTTATTGTCTACATTTAAAATTATTTTACTTGACAGGATAAAATTTTTTGCAGTGTTGTTCTGAAACATGGTGCCTGTTGCGTAACACTGATGTGAACATCTGTGGGATGATGTTTTAATCCAGGCCCTTTGTGGTGATTTGTCGAAATTACACAGATACACTGTTGCATAACTCATTACAGTTTAAATTCTTGTAATCATTACACTGTAAAAAAAAATTGGTGTCTTAAAAAAGTAAGTAACTGTGCTGAATAAAATGTTTAATTCAACTTCTATATTTATAACATCTGTATGTTGGGTTCTGTTAACTGAATATAAGTTACTTTTTTGAGCTAAGACACCACATTGTTTACAGTGGTTACTGACACAATAAGAATTTTGTTACTTACGTTACTCTTCTGTCTCTAATAGAACAAAATAAATTATGTATGATGCATTTAAAACAAACTTCCTCTATATTGATTTTCTATGACTGTTCTTGTATGCGATTTGCACACAAGTGCGAACTGCAACTTTGTGAATCTGACCAACGTAACGTAACCTCATCTAAAGAGGCCAGAATCTTATTCAGAAACAGCTCTGTTAGCTTTACATTTTATGGATGAAGATATTATTTGGAGGCAGCTCTTCCTGAACTTCTTCTTTCAGTTATAGTTGGTACAGATTGGGTGCAGATGTGTATGTGCTTCAGAGAGTAAAGTAAAGAGTACTTATGTAATGATGTAATGAGTAAAGTAAAGTAATCCCACTACAGTTTGAGAGAAGTAATCAGTAACCACTCCAACACTGGTGATTGCAGTATTATTTTCAATATTGGTACAAATACTAACTTATCATTTTCATCCTCCCTTTCTTTCTTTCTATCTCTCTCTCTCTCTCTCAATACTCT